CCCTCTCTGTTTCTAATTCAAGGTTCAATTCATCTAGAATGTTGAGGGAACCATCCAATGCTCAATTTGTTCTTGGTTTGATTTTTTTTAATTTCCATTTAGTGGAATTTGTTTTTATTTATTTATTTTTTGACAGAAAAACCCCAATGTTGAATTCATGTGTTGTGCAGTTTCAAGAACTAAAAAAAATCCCATTTTGGTGCAACAAAAAATGTATTTACAGTAAATAATGCATGTTCGAATTTACATTAAATGAGATTATTCGAATTTACAGTAAATTCGATTATGTTTATTTCTTGCTCTCTCTGGTTTATGGATGCTTCAATGTTGAATTTGAATTTGTTCTTGGATTACATATTTTTGAGTTCTAGAAAAAATGTCTAAAGTATGTTTTTAATTTGTTCTTGTAGGACACCGATCGATCACATCCATGTGATGGAGTTGATGTGTGTTGATGAGCTAATGCCGCTACAAATGTCTGACATGAGCACTTCCGATCCAAACGTTGGTTTTTGTGAGTCGTTCACAACGCCAAAAAAAGTAAGAACTGAAGTGCATGATGACAACATTCCCAAGGTTGGAATGACTTTTGCAACCGTGGAGGAATTTGAGGAATTCTACAAAACCTATAGTTCGTGTAATGGTTTTTATACAAGAAGGAGGAGCAGTGTAGGAGATGGATATCGTAGATGGGTGTGCCGAGCTGCGGGTTTTAAAGATGTCCGGAAAAAAGTTCCGGATGACAATCAAAAGAAAAAAAGGAAAACATCGACCGTAAGAGTAGGGTGCAAACACGCACTTAGTTTGAAGTTTGATCCTAAACTTCAAATGTGGATTATCTTGTCATTTGAGGCCGAACATAATCATGCGGCGGTGACTCCTAACAAGGCTCATTTCATACCGACAGGACAAGCAGTCGAGGAGAGTGGGCAACATGTGATAGAGTTATTTAAAGATCATGGCATACCAATTGGAAAAGTAGCGACATTGTTTGGGAAGGGGCGTTTTAGCAAGCGGAATTGTTACAATCACATGCGAGATGTACGGTCTAAGATTTTAGAAGTTGGTGATGCCCAAGGAGTTTTAGAGTATTGTGAAAGCCAAATGGAGTTGGATCCTAGATTCTTTTATCGAATGCAAATCGATGATGAAGGGAAGATGTCTAATTTTTTTGGGTTGATGCCCGGTCTAGGATGGCTTATAAAATTTTTGGAGATGTCATAGTCTTTGACACAACCTATCGGACCAACAAGTATGAGATGCCTCTAGCACCCTTCACTGGTGTTGATAATCATAAGAAAAATATTTTATTTGGTTGTGCTTTGGTTATGGATGAGCAGCAAGACACTTTTGAGTGATTATTTCGTACATGGCTTGAGGCTATGGAAGGGAAAGAGCCAATTTCCATTATTACGGATCAAGATAAGGCCATTTCAAACGCAATCCATGTTGTCTTTCCATCCGTTCGACATAGATTTTGTATTTGGCATATTCTTAAGAAGTTCCCGGAGAAACTTCCTCCTGCTTGCAATAAAAGTAAAGAATTTAAAAATGAAATGCAAGCAATCATTCGAAAGTCATTGTCAGAGTCTCACTTCATTGAGCAATGGTCTGAAATAATTAAAAAATATGACCTCGAAGATCATTCTTGGCTCAAAAAACTATTTGACATGAAAAAGGAATGGGTTCCGGTGTTCACAGTGGATACATTTTTCGCCGGTACAATTTATTTGTCTTATTCCACGTCATAACTTTAATCTACATTAGTAAAAAATCATTTTTTTCATATTTTTTATCGGATTTTTTATACAGGCATGCAAGCAAGTCAACGAGCAGAGAGCTCAAATTTTATTAACTTTGTTTCTCCATTTCATTACTCATTTGATAAAATAATAAAGTCATGTCATACCTTGTTTTGTAGAGAATTTGATACATATTTTAAATACGTAAATTTTATTTTTTAATTGTGTTTCAATTTTCAAATAAATTGTATAGAAAATAATTTAGTCAAATATCGTAAATAAAAAAAGACAATTTAAATTGAGACAAAAGGAGTAGATAAAAGAGTAGTGTGAAATATAGCCTCATTTTGCTAAAGAAAACTACGACTATACAGTTAGGGGCGACAGAGGAGACTACAACACTTGGTAGTTTGACGGTAACAACAAAATCATTGCTCACAATTAAACCTGGCAAAACTGACCCGGACCCGATAACCCGAACCGAATAACCCGGAACCGAACCCGATTGGACCCAAAAACTGAAGAACCGAAATAGAACCAAACACCCGAAATGATCCGAACCGAACCGAACCGAACCCAAACCGAATGTATTCAGACCCGAATCCAGTTAAACCCGAACCGATTAAACCCGAACCCGGTTAAACCCGAACCCGGTTAAACCCGGAACCGATTAGACCCGAACCCGATTAGACCCGAAATTGATCAAATTCATTAATATTTCATTTATCAAATGAATTTAGAGAAAACGAATTGCCTATATATTTTTACATATGTTGATGTGTTTCTAAAAAAAACATACTCCGTATTTAAATTATGGGTGCAAACCATGTAACTACTTTCATATACAAATCTTTTACTTAGCATTTTAAGTTAAAATACTTTTGTATTTTTATAGAAAGTATATAAAAATTATAGTTAACTAAATTTATTATGTGATTTATTCATTTATTAGTATGTATGTGTTTACATTATATACTTGAACTAATATAAATTTAAACCAATATAAACTCAAATCTATATAAACCCAAATCAATACAACCCGAATTGATACAAACCTGAACCGATATAACCCGAACCGATACAGACCCGAACCGATATAAACCCGAACCGATATAAACCCGAACCGATACAAACCCGAATCGATACAAACCCGAACCGAAACCGAACCGAAACTGAAAACTAATCAAACCGAAATAAACCCGGAATCAAACTGACCCGAACCGAACCGACCCGAACCGATTATAACATATATCCGAAAGAGACCCGAACTGGAACCGAGCCGATTGACCCGATTGCCAGGTCTACTCACAATAACCACTGTATCTAACCTGATGAGTTTTATTGTCCAGAATCTAAAATTCAATGAAATTAAAAAGTGAAATACAGTTAGGTCTATTGTAAAACGTTAACATTATGTTTGGCTCAAGGATTTTGAAAGGAAAAAAAATGAAAATGGTTTTCTCTCATTTTCCTCACCAAAATGGAAGGAATTTGCTTTTTCCTACACTTGGTACATTTTGCCTCTTCATTTTCTTTTCTTTTCACATTTCCTTTCTTTTCTCCTCTAACCAAACAAGAAAAATGGTTTTCCACTTCATTTTCTTTTCTTTTCCCTTTCAAATTTCTTGAATTAAACATAGTGTAAATGGAGAGTATGTGAGATGAAAATGATGAGACATGGTGAAGGTTTACCAAAGTGAAAAATGCTAGAGGTCTTGATAATGATTGGGTGATGATGCGTTATAGTACGTGGACGCGATACAATTTTAGCTTACAAGTTTAATGAGAATGTAATACGGAGTATTAATTCAAGTGCAGCAATGCGTTTTTGCACTTGTGTATGAAATTCTTATCCCCACAATTCTTCAATACATCTCTTTGAATCAGTACATCATTTCTTGTATCCAGAGTTCAACACGATCATGAGAGCGCTAATAGGTTTCATTGACCACATAATTCGCCAGAAAATATTTTGGAAAATGCGACCTGGTGATCGAATTAATATCTCATCAATTCCATACTCAAATTCTCATGCTAATATACAGAGTAGTTTTTAAGATTTATCATCTCATACACGGATTTCATAAGTTTTGGTTTTATTTCATTTTGAGTACCCCTTTGGTTTTATTTCATTTTGAGTACCGTAATGATAATTGCAAAGCCAAAACATATTTTCTTAAGCCTCGCCTCGACAAGAATTTTTTTCTTTGTAACCCTTCCCAGCCAAGCGGTCACTTCATATAGATACTCTCTCCGTCCTAAAATTAATTTCCCAGTTTGACTTTTGCAATCAAATTTTATAAACTTTGACTGTAACTTAAGAAAAAAATACATTGAATTTTCGTATAAATCTATTAGCACTAGATTTATTTTGGAATATAGTTTTGAAATATATAATTTTTATAAAATATATTTATATAAAAATTGAGATATTGATGGTCAAAGTGTCACATTGGAGACCGTGAAAAGTCAAATGGGAAATTAATTTTAGGACGGAGGGAGTATTTTTTTCAATTTTTGACTTGGATAATGAAGAGAAATGCTAGAGTTACAAACACTTCGGTCAAAAAATACACAAACTTACTATTTATGTATTTAATTGTTTATTTTTCAATGTTTCAACATCATTTTATTCATTTAGTGAGGTGCACAAATAACAAGGTTGTGTATTATCAAGCTGCTAACACGACGTACATCCTGCATTATCAAGCTGCTAACACGATTCAAAAATTTTGTTTAATATTATCATTGTACTTTTACTATTGTGCTCTCTTTCTTGGCTATCCCCCCTCACTCTTTTCTGTTTTGTGCTCTCTGATCTATTTCCTTTCTTTCTCCTTAGTGTAACCAGAAGTGAGGAGATGTGAATATGTATTATATTTTGATTGGTTGAAATATATAATTATAATATTAATAGTTGGGGAAGAAGATGAAGCAACGAAGTGATGGCCATCACTTGAAATGGGGGGAACACCCCTTCACGGCTGAAGTGCAACGGGGGAGGGGCTGGATGGAGGGTGATCAAACCCCTCCTCACACTGCATAACACATAGCCTTAGACACGCTGGTGTAGAAGATTCTTGGTATTGGCATAGAGCCATGATGAAAGAATGTTTATACATTTAAGACTGGCTGTAGATTAATTTTGAATGGAGAAGAAGGGCAAACTACTGAGGTGCGGTGAGGATGTGTTAGTTGCATTCTCCGGTTAGTTTCTTGTGTTTTTACGCATTTCTCAATGGGATTCCAAAAGGGTCGTGCGATCCATAGGTGCCCGCTAACCTTGGTCGAGAATAAATACTTGAAAATCCAATGTCAAAAAATTTAATGGGAGTAGGGTTCCAATTTCAATTCTTTGTTGGTGCGTTTGTGGGACATATAAGATTTGGGTCCCACCCGATCTATCTAGGAGTATAATATACGCGGGGAGGTGGGAGCAGGCGTTTTCCCAATTTCCCATGTTCAAAGACACAAAACGTTTCTATGACCTACAATTAAGGATACAGAATACAATTGGGCCGATTGACAAATATGGTGGCCCAACAAGATAATCCACTTGGTGTTGTTTTCTCTACACACCTAGTATTATGAATTGTTATTGGTTCGCCCACATAAAAACATGAAAGAACAGAAATGGGCTGGTCGTAGGGTTACTACCAGAACCCTTGGCGGTCTATACTCCGCATGTGTTAAGGGGCAAATCTGTTCATTTATATACTCGTAAGATGCAAGGATTAAAAAAAAAAAAAAAAAAATTGCCTCATCTCATCACAAGCATAGAAGAAGAAGAGGAGAATAGACGATGGCGGAATCGAAGCAGTGCGTGGTGTTCGGAGTTCAGCTGATGAAGCCGTCGTCAGGATTCGATGGTTTGAGTTGGTATGGTTTTGACAGTTCATTTAGTCCCGTGGAAGCCCTAGAAGGTGGTTATGATTCTGAGGATGATTGTGGTTATGATTTCGGTGCTATTTTCGACTTGGATGCATACTACGAGGTCAAGCTCGACGATGACTCATCAATCGCCAAACCACTTGCAACACTCAGTGGTGTTCGTTTTGGTTCCACAATTGGTTGCTGGAAAGATTGTTTGTTTCGTGTGGGTGGAAATCATTACACGGAGCAGAAGAAGCGGAAGATAGAGGAGTACTCCAAGAAGATTAAGGACTCTGACCCTCGATGGGAGCGGTTCCGTATGTGCACCAATCGAGTGGATTACTGGAGTCCAGCTGAACAAGAGTGTAAGTGGAAGTTACACTCGCGGCTGAAACAGTCTAGGTCTGGTAGTAAGCTACTTGTGTTGGGACAGCTTATGTATGTCGCAGGCGGTGCTTCTAACTTTAATTTTAAGAACACGGATAAGGCTAAGAAGGAGGCAAGCTTAATATTTATGGAGGTGTTTAATTCAGAGAAAAGGCGCTGGGTTGCTGTTGCGAACCCTCCTGAGGATTCTCATCTTATGGATGAGTTAAGTGTATGTGCGGCATGGGAAGGTGGGGGTAAGTTATTATTTGCTTCAATGGCATGTACACACTTTTATGCCTATAAGCCAGCTTCTTGTTCTTGGGAGCGCTGTGATCATCTGCGATTTGTTAAATCTGCACTTGGTAGCAGTACACGACATCCTGGGGTTGTGGTTGGAGACCATTGTCTTTGGCTCAATTGGGATTTGAGAGGAAACTTCTTGATTGGACTTGATCTTGTTAAAGGCAGATATTTTTGCATTAACTTGGCCTTTGAGAGGCTCCTACCTAAACCAAGTTTTAAAATTTATACCCCTCTCTTGCTTCATTTGCGTGATGGCAAGTTGTGTTTGCTTTGGAGAGACAACACTCTGTATCGGGTATGCAGCGACGAGGAAGAGGAGGAAAGCAGCAGCAGCAGTAGCGATGAGGATGACGATGATGATGACAGTGAAGAAAAGGAAGTGGATGATGATGACAGTGAAGAAAAAGAAGTGTATGATGATGACAGCAAAGAAAAAGAAGTGACAGACAACCTCTTTGAGGAAGGAGAAGAGGAAGAGGAGGAAGAAGAAGAATCAAGAATGAAGAAGAATGAGAAAGATGGATGGGAGAATTATGGAGGTTATCGTTGCAATGAATTTGTTATAGATTTTCGGAGGGCTTACAAAAAAGGCTCTCTCAAGAAAGCGAACTCATATCGGCCGAAGGCTACTGGATGTGTGACTGTTAAATCAAGAAGGAAGCTTATTGCTCCCAGTCTCTATCACCAACTTTGGCATGCTTTTGTCATGCATGTTTCCCCTCTCCTCTTCTTCTTCATTGCTACTCCGTATTACTGTTCCGTCTCAATTGTGGATTATGTTCTGATTTCTTTCTTTCTTCTTTTTAATTTGATTGTCATAGGAATGTTGCTGTTTATAAGGGTACTAGTGGCGACCAAGGCAAGTCAGAATCTGAAGCCTTTCCTGCTATGGAGGTGGTGGCATCGGAGAGAGAGCTCCAAGCAGGGGCCTATCCTGTCTTGCGGCCTTGCAAGGAGAGAAGGCCTAACAAGAGGATAAAAGTGTGATTGGTCTCTCTATTAGTGATCTACCAAACCATTGCTTAATTGCAATTAAGTATGCACTGTTCCCATCTAGTAGCAAACGAATCACGTTAAATTATTGTTAGTTTTCTATGTATGCACTCAAAGGTTTGTCGTCTTTGAATGCCATGTGAAGCATAGAATCATTGTTGGTGCTTGTGAGAAGGTAATTTTAACTTAAGCATGGTAGTGTTAGAATGCTGAAAGTCTCTTTATGATGTGACGATAATAGTTTTCATTATTTATCTCGATGCTTGCTTTACTTGTGTCGTATGAATCAATTTATGAGCATAGTCACACGAATGTCTTGTTGATATGATAATGTTGGTTTAATCTAACTTATTGACCGGTGTGTCCTCCAGATCATAATGGACCTAACCCAAACACATATAACATTCTTAACTTGGTCTAAGTTTTTTTATTATAAAAAGAATGCTGATGTGATCTCGATTTCACGTTTTTGTGTTAAAGTTGAGGTCTTTTTTGTTGCAATGTTATTTAAATGAGAGAATATAAAAAAAACCAGAGGTACTTTCAAATGATGTGCCCATGAGTTGTGATTTTGGGTTGGGTGAAATATCCAATCTTTTTCCTCCAAATTGAGAAGCAGAAGAAGAATTTTGTGAGGGGTAATCACTTGGAGGAGACCTCTCTGCTTTTGTGTGGAATTAAGAACGACTTCCATGGGATGCTGCTGTGTTACAAGCAAGAGTGGACTGGTGATTTCAGTGCTGGCTTCAGGTATATTCTGTATACGCACTCTCCAACTCATCTACTGCACCAAAAAAAGTTAAATTCTTCAACTTGCAATATTAAAAGCCTTTTGTAAGAGTAGGGTGTATTACTGACATAATTGGAATATCTATTATCAGGATCTTGGCTCCCACTACATGCATATTCTTTGCATCAGCAATTCCAGTCATCTTGGTAAGATAAAACGGTCACACACTCATAAATCATGACTCCAACTTTTTTGTTGTTGATTTGACTGAATTTTTCAGATACTTCCTCTGTTCAGCACTTTCTTTCTTGTTTCAACTTGGCACAAAGATTAAAAAAAGTTAAAAAATGTAAAGATTTTCCATGTGTGCCCTTAAAATGATGGAATAAAGTAAAATTTAGTGTAGATGAAAAGTGTGGATGAATTACATATTCATTAAAAGTTATTTGACAAAATAGGAAACAAAAAAGAAGTTTATGGATGGCTCAAAAAGGAAAGTGGGAAATAAATTAATGGACGGAGGGACTAGGGAGTAATGGAGTATAACTTGTATGCACTCAATAACTGTTTTTTTTTGTTTGGAAAAAATAATTGAAAAAAGACCTTGTGTGATTGAGGGAGTGCCATGTATTGGAATATCTCTCTATTGCAGTGGCTTTGTTAAGGATTTAAAAATACTCAAAGTCATAACTTTAACATTGATAGGATGACTCCGCATGTTTTCTGTCGTAGATGGTTAACTGCATTGTGGATAGAGAATATTTTACCCTTAGGAATGTGGTTAATGTGTATATTCATTAACTAGAAAGTTCTGGATATCTCGTAGATGGACTTCTTACAGCTGTTCAGATGTTAGCTTCAACTGCAATTTGTGGCATTATTCACTCCATCGAAGGGCAGCTTCTGTTGATATTAGTAGGAGTGGCGGAGCTTACTGTTATCATGTATACATTCATGTTTAGCTTTGCCAAACAAAGACCAGATTTGGGCCATGATCTGTTCCTTGTATGATCTGGATGGCTTGTGCTAGCATTCTCCACACTTTCTTAAAGATCCTCTTTTATATATGATTGAATATGTGTGTGTGTGTGTGTGTGATCCATGCATATATTAACATATCATTACTTGTCCAGGTTTAGACTCTTTTGGAAAGCTGCTTTCTAAAAGTTTTATACTCCCTCTGCTCCTAAATTATTGTCCTTTTTCAAACAACGTGCAAAACTCTATCTCTTTTAAATTGATTTTATTTACAAATTGTTATAGAAATAAAATTACAACTTATAATTTAAAAACTACACCAATAGTTCTATTCCATCTGTTTGAAAAAATAGTTCCATTTTTTGCGCATCCGGCAAAACACTTTTACCCCTACCTAAAATGTCTAAAATACACCCCATTTGTCCTTTATTGTGGGTAGAAATTATTTTGGGGGTATTTTAGACGTTTTACTTGGGATAGAAGTGTTTTGTGGGATGCTCCAAAAATGGAGTTATTAGTGTTTTTTTCAAACGGACTGAGTACAAAACAGCTGGTGACATGCCTCCTTTTCCAATGGGATGTTTGCGTTGGCTGTCATTTGGTCTGCTCTTAACCAGATCAAGAGGCCGAAATGCAAGGTCGTGTAGGTATGGAACTGGTAAGTACATACAAAGATTAATCTAAAGGATTTTCCATTTACAAGATTGTGCGCTGTTGAAATTACTTGATGCCTGATTCATTCATTATACAGGCTGCCCTAGAGGCATAATCGCAGACTATGGGGTGCCAATTATGGTGCTAGTTTGGACAGGGATGTTTTATGTACTGTCCCAAAAAGGATTCCAAGATGTCTCTTAAGCCCAAATTCATGGTCGCCTGGTGCATATGAGAACTGAACTGTTATCAGGGCATGTTTATCTTTACTTCACTTAATCACTCTCGAATCATGAGTCATGACATGGAGTAGTACTTACAATGTGTTATCATGATCCATTGAATCGAGAATGAATTTGGGCGCTCCATAGGTGTTTCTTGTGTTTTTACGCATTTCTCAATGGGATTCCAAAAGGGTCGTGCGATCCATAGGTGCCCGCTAACCTTGATCGAGAATAAATACTTGAAAATCCAATGTCAAAAAATCTAATGGGAGTAGGGTTCCAATTTCAAATCTTTGTTGGTGCGTTTGCGGGACATATAAGATTTGGGTCTCACCCCGATCTATCTAGGAGTATAATATACGCGGGGAGGAGGAGGACAAATGAAATTGACGGCCTTTCTTCTTCTTTCAAATTTCGATCTCTCCATCCTTTGCCTTTTGTCCGATCAAATTTTCAAACAGAAGGAGAGCGTAGAAGAGAGGCGTTCGGCCGGAGCATGCGGCATATTGGATCGGCAAATTCAGGCAGAATGTTTTGATTTTATCGCCATATTTTGCATTGTTGAATTTGTATCTCTAGTTTTTAGGATTTATTCGTCACTTGGCCTTCCAATTTACATCAAGTAAGGGCTCAATCTGTTGGAATTTATATGGTACGTAGTATAAATTATACTCCGTATGCATTTACTTCTTGCTTTCAGAGAGGACATATGAAATTGATCGTGAAGAGTCTTCATAACCCGTTGGGTCGACCCGAACCCGATGACACTGGGTCATAAATATACAGTTCTCAACTTGAACCCGAATTAATCCGAACCCAAAATAACCTGAACTTGAAGTGACCGAACCTGAACCTGACCTAACCGACTGATTTGCCAGCTCTAGTGAAGACTAGCTCGGAATCCACTTCTACGCCTACGGAAACCACTAAGGGATGGAAGTCCATTGAAATCTAGGGTTGCGAGAAGAGATTTTCACTGAGTGAAATGTTAAGCATTTTTGGAGAGGAATTCTAACAAAATCCACAGAGTATTAAAATTCATAAACTTTTGAATACTTAAAATTTTTTAAAGAATCTTGAAAATCCAAGTTGAATACTTCAAGATTTTTAAAGACTTTTGAAAATCCAAATTGAATACACTCAGATTTTAAAAATCTAAAAAAATCTTTTCAAATCCAAATTCAATACACCCCTAAGTCATTCACTCGGCCATACCTATCAATATGTAACACAGATTTTAAGGTATTTAAAATCAAAATTTATTCAATTTGACTTCAAAAATTCAAGGTATACAAATACGTGAGTCGAGAATGGAGTTAGACATTGTGTAACATTTATTTATTTTAAACTAAAAAAAATTCTCAAAATGGTATTCAATAAATTTTTTGTTTTTCTAAATTCGTCCTAGAGATTAACTAAATATCAAGATAGTAATCATTAATTGAGAATAATGCTCATTTTAATTTCCCGACTAACATTGTCAAACCAGCGTCAAAACAATGTTAAAACTCATAAAATATGGAAAAATAGTTGGTACATTTTTGCAATAAAAACTCATTGAATATGGAAAAATAATTTAATTTTTATAGGAAGAGAATATAATAAATAGAACTATAAATATAATTTAATAAATTTGAAAGTAAACATTTCAGATTGTTTAAAATTATTTTAAAAATATCATGTAAATAATATATTTAATTAACATAATTTATCTGCTCTCATAGTTTCAAAATAAGTACAGAGTAAAAGTTTTAACGTCGTTTAGGAAATCAAGTTAACTTTAATCCTCTTTTGGTTGCTGTTAGTCGGGAGGACTGAACATTATTTTCAACTAATGAGTAACATCTTGATAATTTGTTCATTTTGGAGACTAATATGAGAAAACACATTGTTATTGAGTTCCATCTTGAGAATTTACTCTTTAAAGTATATTCCGTATTAATTAATACTTAAAGTGTTACACAACTTGACAAAAATGAAATAGTTGACTTTTGTTTTGGACGGATGCAGTAATTATAAGAATAGTCATTTTATTAAGAATAATTTAAGATATGAGTAAATATTGCTAAAAGATATTAAAAGTATTGCAATTCAATCTTAACTTTACTTTAATTTGAATCATACTCCCTCCGTCCCATTTTATAATGCATGTTTCGGTTTACGATGTTTGACTAAAATTATTTTCAAATCATTTTATATGACAAATGGTATAGAATTAAAAAAATAAAAATTACATATCAAAATACTACATTAAAACAGTACTTTATTTTACCAAATTGCTAACGAAAATAGAAAGAAAATAAATGAAGTTTGACCCTGTGAATAGTGAACATACATTATAATTTGGAACGGAAGAAGTATGAGATAAAAAACTTACTCCGTAGATGAGATCAAACCAGATCAAAAGTAACCAAGTTAGTTGAAGAGGAGGCAAAAATAATAATGTCAACTCTTATTTTGTACTCCTAAGAAAAAACAATAATTTCAACCAATCGTTATTGTTACGAGGGACATGACAAACTTGATGTGAGGTTCAAACCAGATCAAAAGTAACCAAGTTAGTTGAAGAGGAGGCAAAAATAATAATGTCAACTCTTATTTTGTACTCCTAAGAAAAAACAATAATTTCAACCAATCGTTATTGTTACGAGGGACATGACAAACTTGATGTGAGGTTCACATTAGGGCTGTCAACGGATAGTCGAAAATCCGATTACCATCCGCATCCGTATTCGTTTAAAGAGGAAATATCCACATCCGTTTTAAACAGATCTTATCCGTATCCGATTACTAAACGAATACGGATTTGGTAAACGTATATCCAATCTGTTTAAAACCCGATCTGAATATGCATCCGTTTAAATAATCGTTTATTCGAATATCCGATACGTTATACTCCCTCCGTCCCCCAGTTTTTATCCACTTTTGACTTTTGAAACTGTTTATCTAAGCACTTTGACTCATCAAATTCTCTCAGTGTGTAAGCCTAAATATATTCATGTGTGATCTTGTTTGATTTATCTTAACATATAGATTATTAATATATAACTTCTATAATTTTTTAATATACAAATTACAAGATAAAATGGATTAAAGAAGTGGATTGGATGGTGTGTAAAAATGAAAGTGGACAAATACTCTGGGACGGAGGTAGTATATAGTTTTTCCTAATTTTTTTATGTTTATATTTTGTTTCTCTATTGATATTTCAAAGTATAAGAAATTTTTATATACAAAATAAATGTGTAGACACATAAAAATATGTGCAGACATATATGTGTGCTGTGTATATCTTTTTATCTTATGAAATTATCGTAGAATATCATAAATCATAAAAGCAAAGAAAATAATTATTCCATAACAAATTATAGTTAATTTAATCATGGTTTGACTTTAATCTAATTTAAAATTAAAATATTGTTTAATTTGATTTTAAAAATTAGAAAAAGATACGGATATATTCGATATCCGACGGATGTGGATATGGTTTTGATTTTCAGTATCCGTCAAGATCCGTATCCGAATTTGGTACCCGACAAAAATAAACTGATACAGATTTAGTAATGGGACATCCAGTCCAATTAATATCTGTTTACACCCTTAGTTTAAATGTTTAATGACAAAAAAAAAGAGAAGGGTTCATTAGCATGTTATTTAGGACTCCGTACTCCATATGAATAAGAGGAAATGACAGAATTTGAAAAAAATTCTTCAACAAGCCCGGGAAGAGTCCCTGGGGTCTTGAAAATTTAGAAAATATAAGTAAAAGATCCCAATGGAATGATTTTGAATATCGTGTTATTACTTTAAAAAAACCTTCTCCAACTTTTGTAAATTGTGATCATTTGACAAAGAAATAGCGGAATGATAGAGTAAGACAAGAAGATTACATGATGCAAAATATATCATCGAGGATTGGACAATAAAAGCAGGTAGCAGTAGTATGTAGGATCCTTAAACAACACACATCACAGATTTGGATAAGCTAAAATTTGGCATAATTAGCTATACATGGCTTGTTAACGGACTTCAATATCTCTATTGTTGGATGGCCAATAATAGTCGATTCTGATCTCAACGAGTATATATTTCTCGCTAACTAAAGAAAGAAGAGAGAATTGTTTTGCCAGAGCAAAAAAGAGAACAATCCACTGCAATCAGAATTGCTTGCGAGTCAACAATTTCATCCAAAATCCCTAGAATCTTGGGATTGCTTCATCACATCTTGAAGAATCTGCAACCACAGACAAATAGTTCAATAAAAAACCATGCAAACCATTAAATTGCATAAAACATTTAAAGCTAGACCACTTTTCTTTTACCTATAACCCACTAGAGGGGGAGGAGTGACCTATCGATGATTTCGTTGAAGATCTCTAGGATTTTGGGCTCCTTCTCCAATGCATATTGAAGGGTGCTGAAATACAAGGAAATAGTATGATATAAAAACAACAAATTGGCATTACCAGATAAAGTAAAAGTAAATTAACATGGATCTTTTGTGGATGTTCAAAAACTTTTGTCCTAATAATAAAGCAACAATGGACATAACTATTCAAGGAACTCTAAAGGTCCATGTGGTTGGGCCAGTGAAGAATAGTTTGGCAACATTCTGAGCATAGAAATTGTTTTAGACATGAAAGCAGATCAACAGGTGCAAAAATCATGAGGTTGGAATGGATGCAATTGTATGCATCCAACATCCTCAACAAGTTTCTTAGGGTACGTCAAGCAAGGCTTTGATTCCACTCTCTTGGGACTAATTCCAAATAGATAAACCTTGGAATGATATTATGTTAAGGATTCTGTGTTTCTGGCAGAATGGGTATTCGTTTTTTTCTTGATGCTTTGGGCTTTTGCATTTTTATGGGTTCAAAAGTTTTGTTTCACACTTTCCCTAAGGGCTTTCTCTCTATATATATTTAAAAAAAAGTAAAATATTTATTTAACCTGTAACCATGAAGATAAAAGCCATTTGAAATTTTTTCATGTGTCTTCTCCTCTCTATCATCGTCTTTCCACAGTGCCTTGGTCATTTGGTACCAAACTATAGGAATAACATCCATATAGTAGCGATCAACAGCTTCATGGAGTATTTGATCCAAATTGTACTGACCACGAACACCCCTTTGAAGTTCTTGTGCCACACCTTGGAAGTGGCGAATGATATTCAACATCAAACGAATGCAGTTTTCTGGACGTTCAAAAATGGTATTAACAGCCTTACTTGCACCACTCTTTCCTCCCTTCTTTTTTCCACCTTTGAAGGATTTTTTTTGTGGTAAACCCTTATAGCATCTGTTGTGGTCTAATTCCTTGTCCTTGGCTTGAATCCTCTCCACATACTTATCAAATTGCCCGGACAATTCAACCTTACTTAGGAAACCAGCCTCATCCATGGTGATCAAGTTCCAAATCTTAAATAGGAACAAGAACTCATCATTGCGATTATAGACCAATGGATTCTTGAAGATGTAGTATGAGATTTTCCTATAAAAAACAGAATATATAAAACAATATTTTATGATTAAAATTTCTACAAATCTATCTATAAATAATATTATACCTTAACTTGTCAAGATCTCTAAGTTCTTTGGCAAGCTTCTTATCAAACAAGACGTCATTGCAAAGCTCAACAAACTTCTTTATGCTCATGGGAGCTTTCTTGACTTTTTTTTCAACAACATCAAGAATCAACATCACAAGATCTTTCACATCATTGATACATGTTTTCACCTCTTCAAAGCTTTCTAAACATGCACAAAGAAAATTCCAATTTTAAGAAAGAAACAAAAGCAAAGAAAGAAACATAACCAAAAAGTGAAAACAAAGGGGACCAAAGGAGTTTACCGGGTTCTTTGAAGTGGTTTTCAAGATACACAACCCGATCGTTCACAATCTTCACATTGCATATATTGGTATGAACCCCCCTATCAATGCATATAGTGCGGTAAGCCATCCCAAAGATACTTCTTAATACCCATAGAACACCAAGAGATAGTTTGACTTGATTATTTGGTTGTTTCAACCATATCTTGTCTTTGCGCTCATAAAACCAAATGATATGTTCTCTTGAGATTCTTGGGTATTTAGATTCTAGTTCCTGAATCTTCTTGTCCCTCTCCTCACCCCTATATCATCAAGCACAAAAGCACAATTATTTTAGTTCTAAAATATACACATGCATTCTACAAGAGATTTTATACTTGCACCAAAAAAGGACTTTTATGTATCATATTTAAAATCTATCACCGTCATAGCTTAAGGTAGATGATGAAGTGTGTGAAGTTGTTACCATTAGAAGATGATGAAGTATGTGAAGTTGTCCAGTAGATGAGGTATAACTTTTCATTTTTTCACTTTGGGTGTGCATTTGGAAGTTTTATATGGTGTTATTTGGAGATTGACTTTTCAAACGCCATAAATGTAACATGAAATTATCGGGATCATTAATTAACTAATTATGGCTAAGAAGTAAATTATTTATGCTGATAGTATTTTACATTTTCTATACTAGAAAGCAACAAAAAAAGAGAAAGAATTACACTAGTCTAGCCTAGATTCATTATACCCTAATGGTAAAAATTTACTATAAAAAATGGCCATGTGCAACCCAAAACACATTAAGAACACAAAACACAAAGACTTACACTAAATCCTTCTCAAGTGAGCCATGTACCCCATCTCCCACCATGATATCATCTCTCTCCTCCACTACTAGTGATTCTTGTGCAGTATTTTCCACCAAAACTCCATCTCTTTCTTCCAACCTGTTCACATAAGGACCATAACAATGTTAAGTAAAGTCCAACAAAAACCCATATTTTTGAATGCGAGAAACTGAAAAATACTCTTGGTTACCTAGCTCTCTTCAGCCGCTTCCTTTCAGAGCCTCGTTTTCTCTTCCCCAACACAGACTGCAAGCGAACCATTTGTGGTAGGTGATGATGCTTCTGGGATGCTAGCTAGCTAGGGTTTAACGGGAGAGAAGTGAATGGGGGTATTCCGATGTGTTTAAACGGAAGAAAAGAAAAAAAGACCGCGATTGGTTGGACCCGTATTTGGACAGAAGTGGTGGTGGTGACTGGTCGATTAGGTCCTACTAAACTAGTTAGCTCGAAGTAAAGAAGTAAGGCTTCTAATAAGAAAGAACTACTCCTCCCTAGATTGGTCTCGGATTAGTCTCTCAACTCTTAATAATATTCCGTATATAAATATAGAAAAACTAACTATAATAATCCCACTCTTAACCCCACTTTTGATCTCATTGTCTTCACATATGTTACAGAACACTATGCCGTGTGTAACATGTAGGAAGACAATATGTCAAATGGGGTCAAATTAATCAATCTTATTTCTTATATTGATTTTCCCAAATTAATTAAACCTTTTGTGTTTAACCTTTTTGTTCTCCTCAAAGAATATTAAATTGGAATGCAGGAAGTGTTCTTTAGAATGTACTACTTCTGTTTTGGTGTATTCGTCCAGTTTGACTACCTCTGTCAACGGATTCGTTCAGTTTGACTTTTTGTGTCAATTTAGATGAGTTTTAGACTTCAATTAAATAAAAATGCTAATACATATTAGTACAAAAGTTATTCCATAAGATTTATCTTGCTGAGAACTTTAAACATTTTATTTTATTGTACTAATATGCAATATAAATTAAGAATAATTCGTAATTAAAGTTTCTCCAATTTGACTTGTAAAAGTCAAATTGGATAAATATACTAGGACGGATGAAGTTATTTTTATACAAATACATACTATGTGTATCTTACTAACATACAAAGTAATCTTGTTCCACTATTTAATATGGAGTAATTATTTGGACTGGACTTTGGATCGGTTCTAACCAAATTATCTAGTCCAAAAATTTTCAATTTTTTTAAACAAACACCGGACTTGTCTAAACCGATTACAGACAAGGACTGGACCATCCGGTCCGACTAATCTTGTTCTTTTGTTATCTCTAAGTTGGAAAGAGCAACACAGAAATATTTCCAATCAATCTTTTTGAGTGCTTTTACCATGAACCTAAAGTTCATTTAATATGAATTAGTTTTGAGGCTATGGGATGATGTTATTATTGTTGTAGAGTAATAAGAAGAACGTTCAAAATGGGTTGCAAACTAATTAGGTGGGTTTGATTTTTTTTTTTATTGATAAAAAGATTCCAAACACTTGAAGAAAAAAAAAGCTTTTCTTACTTCTATCCGTCTTCAAGTCAAATTTGAGAATCCAAGGAGTCAAGAACCAAGTGTATTTTGTCCTGGACTTCTTAAGACTTCCATGTCCATGTGAAGAAAAATGTAATCATCCCAGCAACCTGGCAACATAAAGATAAACAATATAAGGCACTTTATAAATACCATAATTCAACTAGAAAAAGAGTGAAAAGCGAAATTATTGACCTTCAACCATTGAATGTAGAACTGAAGAGTAAGCAACAATATTCACCACAGTGCTTTTCTATATGAACTAGCTGTCAATGGACAGCATCATTTGAATCTTAGATCCAGTTTTAAAAAAAAGTATTTCCAGCTTATTAAACATGCACCTTACTTGAACAGAATCTGTTCTAAAGGGTTGTACCTCCAAATCCTTTATTCTTTTAAAAAAAATGCACCTAAAATGAACTGACCGTAACAACAGAAACAGTCTGCAAAAGTCCAAAGTGAAAGACATTTAGAAAAGTTTGAAAACTAATGCCTTACTTCCACCATCTTTAGATCAATATATGAATGAGGCTTCAAGGAATCATGATCTCACAGTAATGTGCTCTCAGACTTCTTAAAACCTCTATGCCCACAACAAAAATGAATCACATGCATTGATTAAAGCAGTAGCCTCAGATAGAAAACACTTTGAGAGCCCTAAAACCATGTACCAATCTCCTCCATTGGTGATATTAGAAACAGATGCTTAACCTCAGAAAATCAGGGGAGTACATGTTCTTGGGGCAGCTAATCCCAGACTACCTACAGTGTCTGAAGGATTCTTGCCTGTGGATTCAATAGTTCCATCTCCCATATGCCCAGGTGAAATAAATCTTTGGCCAACCATATATGTAAATACATAGTTCATGTTGGTTAAAGTGGTGGTTCACCATGATAGCTGTAGCAATGCACCTATGAGGAAAATTCACCTGTTTCTGTATAGGGAGTTGCATATAGGAAAGGAAATAGCGCATAAGAATGCTAAATATGATGCTCAAAGTACACCTAAAGTTTGAGTTATCTACCAACTCGATCTTCTTGTAAACGTCCAATACGACTACCCAGTTTGGCAACATCGATCAAGCTTCTTTACTCCGTGCACAGGCAACATCGTTCCAAACGAGATCAAGCTAATTTAGTAATGAGTACAAGTCCATAGTTAAGCACCCAAAATGTAGCAGTTGCTTGGAATTTTAAACATCGTATGATGCAAATCACCCCAACCATTCCAATCTTCTTTCATAACCATGCCAAATAGGACAATGCCTACTGAAAATAATTTACAGAACCCAAAGCCCATCCAAGCACCTGGTTCTGAAGGTTAATAGGAGCCGAACCCTTGAAGGCCGGTCTGTAGAGAAACCATTAAATTGATCACCAACCACGGGTATGCACTTTGAATCCTGTCAAAATATCTTCTGTGAATGCCAAAACACGGTGAGCCTTTTCTGGAAATACAATCCCTCACACACAAAAATTTCAAGTTATTTAGATATAGTTACTTCTCATTACCAAATATACAAGCTAGATGAAGCAAAAAGGCTTTTTATATGCCGACATTTACAAGTTACTGATAAATTCTTGTTTTTCACTTTTTGAGCTGATTTGAGAAAAGTCCCAAAAGGTCATTGTGACCAAACAGGTTGGTGATCGAACTGCCTCTTTGAGAAGAGTCTCTGGCATGACAGACCAAGGAACACAGCCATTCTCAACAAAAAATGCAGACTGGGCAGTGACTTCTCATTGTCCAAACCAGCAGCACCTGCTCAGGGAAATTCAATACAAAGAGTCATAATTAGATAACAAATGCTTTATTTATATGGCCACATCAAAATAACTTTTCCTGATCAGGTTTGTCATCTGGTGTTTTAGAGTTTCATGCCCGAATACTTTGCAGATAGAACAATCATGTGGTAGAAATAGCAAACAGCAATTAAACTTGATCACAGAGATATTTATGGCAGAAGCTGGTACGGAGTATTATTCGTCTATACAAGTTCACTATATGGTTACAATTATGTACCTTTAACTCCCTACTCAATATCATTCATACTTTATATTGGCACAGTGGGATCAACATGTGTACTGTACCTCGTCTGGTCAGGATCCCTTCTTACTTGATTTAGATGTCTTCTTTCTTGAACCACCACAACAAGACCAGGTTTTTAATTCTTAGGTTTGTGGGGAGGCTCATAGCGACACTGCCATATAAAGCATTTCTGTTAAAGACACATCCAGTGCCCAGATAAACGGGTCCTCCAATGCCATCCAAACCCCTCTAAGTTAATCTGTGTCAAACGAAGCCCATACATCACATAAATACATAACGTCATTTCCTGATCATGATTCTTTTTTTTCTCTTCTCTCCTGACACATCTGAGATACAAAGTATTACAGTTCCAAAAGATTAAGAAGGGGCTGTCATTCCAAAAAATTAGCATACCGTACGCTTTTTCTCTCTCTCTCGAAGCATCTAGCTGGTTGATTGACGTAAGAAGAAGCCAAACAACACATCCTGAAACATAAATACGCATCATGTATATCTATAGCAAGAGTTTTGAACCACTAAATCCCGGGATGATGTTCCGTGGCAATGAGCGTGGCTTGTTGCCATTGCTAATCGTTGAAATCTTCTGTAACTTATGTAAATGATTGTATAATTTTGTATTGGTCATGTACAATAACCAATTAGTGCACACTAAAAGCAATAGAAGAGTCAAAATTTCAGATCTTCCATCTTCAGCTGCCACTGAATGACACCTCTAGGCTCTGGATTTCTCGTTAAATATGGATCTAGCAGATTCATCCCAGGATTATGTAAAGAGCATCAACTATTATTATACCTACAAGTGAGTAGTTGTCCTGGCAAAAATTTCACAGGGTGCATCAGCAAAACTTTGAACTCAACAATAAATCATCAAATTAGAAAGTATACTACACCTAAAGATCAATCAACAACCAATAAGAGGGTACAAGATGGATGTGGATGAAGCAACACCATCGAATTTGGAAACCGTCAGGCGTGTTACGACTGACAAATCTGTACTTGCGACTGCAGAGATGAAGTCATTGGGGGTATCTAGCTAGGTATGGTACGAAATGACGAAACTACCCATGACGAAACTACCCATAAGGACTGAAATAAATTACAAGACTTCATATCTTTTGACCCTGAAAGATCAATACCTACAAAAAGAAAATGTACAGGACCCTTTTATCTTTTTACCGTGAAGATCAAATTTTGTCCGGCGAAATCCTCGCTACGAATCCGAAATTACAAGAGAACGATTAAGGATGTCCTTCTTCTACTTTAGCTTCGGGGAATTGAACGCAATTCAAAATTTAGCGCAAAGACTGGATTTTTAGCATAAGGATGGATTTTTTTTCCAACTCAATTTATACTGGCTGGCTATCTCTTCTTGTGAGCTGTGACCCTGGATAATGCCGGAAGCCCCTTATCAATCACAGATGGTACGGTGGCTATGGAGGATGGTACTGATTTGCATCCTTATATTTTATCTTCTTTCTCATCCCATTGATTGTAATGCTTAATTGTTTTTACATAAGAAAAAGGTGTTAGAAAGGTCATTATGCATTAGGGATGAGAAGAACCTCTTGGACAAATCCAAATTATGAGTATTTTGGATCGAAACATTCTTGATAATCCCATCAATGACTGGACTATTATAACTAATCCATATGGAAACCTTTAGGAGAAGATACATTCCATTGATCATTTCACAGCATTATATACATCAGGTAGTTAGCACAAGGTTAGGCATGTGAGAAACGTACGCTACCTAAATGCGGAGTACATTTGAGATGAAACTAACCAACTACAAGATAAATACAAAGACTAAGTAAATAATATTAAGTTGTTAATAATTATCCTTGATAATCCATAGACACCTGAAGAAGATACACTCTGTAATAATGTTGGTTTCATATGTTCAAGAATATGGTCCAGGCTACGCAATTGGAAGAATTTTCTTGCTTCCACTGGTATGTACGTATTTGTATGTATATCATTACTATTTTTTTCCTCATATATGGAGTATGATTTGTTCCTCATTTTCGAATTCTTGACCAAGTGTTCTATATGATGGTGCAAAGATGCAGTAAAAGTTGCAGGCTTGGCTTAGATGGGCTAATTTTTACCTCAGGCTAGGGATCAAAAGGGGTCATTTTACTGATCACGAGGAGAAGATAATCAGTCCTTCAACTTGAGGCACTTTTGGGCAACAAGTATGAAGTTATGATGATAATCCAGAAAGAACAGATAATGATGGCTGGCTCTCTGATGAAGCATTTGAATCACTACTTTTTGGTCTTGAGGATGCATGAGTCTTTTGGCACTTCAGGTTGTAACTATTCTCCAACTGATTGATTCATCACAAGTCGGTCGTCATGTTCCACTGAAAACAAATCAGATCTGAGTACACAAATCTCACTGAGGATGATGGAGCTATGACCCTAAATCCCCCAAACAAGAAGAATGTGATCTGTGGACCATTGAAAATTCTTGAGTCCTACCGGGAAGGAGTGATTTGGACTTATTGCATTAGAAGATGGTCACAATGTATAACTTGGCTGATGTAAATCTAGGTGCCTTCTAGAACGAGGGCAGATTTACCGCCTGCGGTTCGAACACTTCTCCAGGCCCATGATGGGCTTTTCGGCCTTCCGTTGGGTCTGCCACCAGCCCACGTGTGGGACCACCGCATCCCCGGGGGCGAAGCATATCAACGTTCGCCCGTATCGATACCCCTATTTTCAGAAGGCGGAAAACGAGAAACAAATTCAGGAGATGCTTACACAGGGGACGATCCGCCCTAGCTAGACCTGGCAAAAAGTGACCCGACCTGTTTTTGACCCGAAACCCGACCTGAAAACACTGGGTTTTGAACAAAGGTTTTGATGACCGAACCCGAAGTTGACCGAACACGAAATGACCCGCTAAAAATGGGTCAAACCCGACCGAATCCGAACCCGACCTGACCGACCCGCTAAAGTAAGAATTTTTCAAAATTATACACTTTTTTACTCATTTTTAGTGTATAAATTTATATTTTCAGACAAAATTTTAATGATATTGCATAATTATCTTACTTTTTTTCAAAACATAAGCATTTTTAAATTCCTTATTTTATTTTTAAAATAAAATAATTTTATAGATTTAATACCTTTTTTTTGATATTTTAACTTTATTAATGTAAATTTAAAAATTTAAAAAACCAAAGTCATAACCCGTTGGGTCGACCCGAACCCGATGACACTGGGTCATGAACATAGAGTTCTCAACCCGAACCCGAATGGACCCGAACCCGAAATAACCCGAACTTGAAGTAACCGAACCCGAACCCGACCTGACCGACCGATTTGACAGCTCTAGCCCTAGCTATAGTCCCTTCTCTTCCCCGGTACTTTTGGTTCATAAGAAGGACGTCACTTTTCGCTTCTGCATCGATTATATGGCTTTGAATGTAGCGACTATCCCCGATCACTTCCCAATCCCGACCACAGATGAATTGTTCGACGAATTGGGGCATGCACGCTATTTCACAAAATTGGATCTCCGCTCCGGGTATCACCAAATTCGAATGCATGAGGCGGACGTTTTCAAAACAACCTTTCGGACTCATGAAGGCCATTATGAGTTTCTGGTCATGCCCTTAGGCCTGACGAGTGCTCCGTCAATGTTCCAGACCGCTATGTATACTATCTTCCGTCCTCACTTGCGCTAGTTTGTTATCGTCTTCTTCGACGATATTCTGGTGTATAGTCCTACCTTGGAAACTCACGTGGGTCATCTGATTGGATTAGATCTGATCTGATATAAGTTTGATTTAAGTTAAATTAAAAATTTTATTATAATAATTATAATAATAGGAATAATAATACAAACATTTATAATAATAGAAATAATAATAGTAATAGTAATAGTAATAGTAATAAGAAAAGAAATAATAATAGAAATACTTACAATAGTAATAATAATATTAATAGTAATAATAATAGTAATAGTGATAATTTTAATAACAATAATAATAATTATTATTATAATCATAATAATATTAATAGCCATACTAATAGTAATAATATTAGCAATAATAAAAACAATATATAGTAATAGGAATATTAATAATAATAATAATAATAGTAATAATAATAATATTCATGATAACAGTTATAATAATAGAAATAATAATTATAGTAATAGAAATAATAATAATAATAATAGTAATAGCAATAATAATAATAATAGTAATAGTAATAGTAATAATAATAATAATTATAATCTGATTTTAATAAAAATAAGTAATAGACAGGAAAAATAAGTCGAACAGAACAGTGCCTAAAACATAATACTCCCTCTGTCCACCATTGATTTCCCAGATACTATTCAAAGGGTCAAACTTAGTTCACTTTGTTTGTTTATTTTTATTACTCATTTCATAAAATAATAGTGTTCTCACCTCTAGTTTTGTAGAACTTTTATGTAGTTTATTATTACATAGATTTTATATTAAAATATTACCCCTATATTCAAATAAATTGAATTGAAAATAAAATACCTGTAGTATCTTGTAACGTGCAACGAGAAGATCTAAGTGGACTGAGTGTCATTTACCTATTTACCTATGTACGGAGTACTAAGTTAAACATTCTCGAGCCCTCTCCAAGTACTTGAAGGCTGTGCTAAAAACTTTTTGGACCAAGCTACACTTACACCAAAAAATATACCTTATTTGTACACTACAGGTTTGCACAAACATTTCGATGGTTTACACCGGCACAAGTGTTGGTGCGTTAATAAAAATTCACACGGACACAAATGTTGGTGCACTTAACAAAAATTAGTTTTACACCAACACAAAACTGGGTACAAATTGGGGTACACATAGCATAATCCAAACTTTTTTCGTTGGTTTGGCTGATGCCATCTTTATCAAGAGTGTGATGCGACTTGTGTAGATGGACAGACAACTCACCGAGGAATCGTCAGCTGCGCATGCATCGGAGGGTGTCAGGCCAGATCTATTCTTCATTGATTTTGGCTTAATTGATGTTTGAATTTCGAATTCATACTGTGTAGTTTGTGATTTTTGTTTAATGCTTCAATGGCCGACGAAAGATCATATGAATTTGCCCTTGGTGAAGAAGTAAACCAAGATGAGGAAAATTCTGTTGACGGAGAAGAAATGGAAGAGGAAGTTGGCGACAATGATGAATTTATGGCGGACAATGAAGTTAGGGCAGAAGAATCTAGCGCAGAAGGTGAAGCAAGAGCACTAGATGAAATTGGTGAAGACCAAGAAGAAGATGATGATGATGACGATGACGACTATGATGATGATGATGAGGAAGAGGAGCGTTTGGTGGAAAATGAGGGAGGAACAGCCTCAGTGTCTTTAGGGAATAATGGTATGCCCCTTGATCGGCTCAGTGCACTGCCTATCCTCTTGCTTTTTAACATTCTATCGCGTTTGGATACTAGGGAAGGTTTGATTACTTCTGTGTTGTCAAAAAGATGGAAACATCTCTGGCTGTTCGTGCCAAGACTCAAATTCAGTTACAGTAGTGTGGATACTGAGAAAATAAGCCGGTTTCTGGCTGCGATCAACAGGACCATTATCATTTATAATGCACGCTTTTTGAGTTGTTTTGAGGTTGAGTTCACCTACCATGATTGCTTTTCCACTGATGTTTTTGCTTGGATTGTGCATGCTTACAAAAATGAGGTGGAGGAATTCAATTTGCTGCTCAATCCCTCACCCAGAAAAGATTTGTATAGGCTGCCCGAGCTTTTGTTTGAACATACCTCCTTGGAGGCCTTAAGGCTGAGAAGATGCATTATGGCTCCTAAAAGTGCGATCAAGTGGCATTCTTTGGGTAGTTTGTTCCTTGAGGAGATCGAGTTGCCTCAGCATGTAATTGAAAATTTATTAGCAGGTTGTCCTCATTTGTGTAATTGTGTTCTCAGAGCGTGCTGGGGATTCAATCATGTCGCGGCGGACTCTCAAAAACTTGAATCACTTAGGATAGGAGACTCGAAAGATGGAAACAAAGATCCCTTGCTGGAAATTTCAGCACCCTTTGCAGAATATCTACTTGTTCTTCCTTATCCAGAAGGAAGAAAATGGAGGATCACAAACATCCCTTCGGCTGTTAAAGCTCATTTTGATTTTGTTGGATCTGGTTGGGATGCTGGGTCTGTGGGGGTGATGAGCAATGCAAAAGACCTTCTTGAAAGCCTTCGGCATGTCAACGAGCTTCGTCTGGGATGCGAATGCATGCAGGTTCTCTCTCTCTCTCTCTCTCTCTCTCTCTCTATCTCTTCTTGAAATGCTGTTATATACTCTAGGGTAATTATAACATTCTTGCATCTTGGAAACATTTCATCTACCATAAGCATCAGCCAAATGGATTGAGATGCCGTATGCTAACAAAAACCTAGAGAAAGATGCAAAAATAGAAGGGCTTGGTGGGGGTTACATTTTCCTTTGATGTTCGTAATAAGTCTTGTTAGAAGTTTAGGGGTTCAATGTGGACAACAAACAAAGGCAAGAGCTTTATAATGTGTTTTTGGTCCAGATGTGGGTGAAATAACATCAGAATTTGGGATACAAACAGCTACTCAACTAGAGTTGAAGAGTTGGGGACAAGAATAAGGTAGATTAATTGAGAATGGGAAAGACAATGGTAAAATAATAATTTCACTTTTAGTAGGCATCAACTAATAATTTCACATAATGATGGAAAATATGGAGGAAGAAGTTAAAGTTATTTTTCCTCCTTGTGTTTGGATCTAATAGGGTGGAAGGAAAATAAACCTTATTTTACCTCTTATTTATATCTTAGTAGTTTCTATTCACCCTTTCCTCCCATTTTTAATGGAAAAATTATGAAGGAAAATACTTTCATGTTCTCCATCCTTCCTTATTATCCACCCTCTTCCAAACACAATACATATACATGCCTCCTTATTTTCCACCCAAAATTTTCTTTCCGCTCTTGTTTTCGTTCTTCCAAACAAGAAATTAGTGTTACTTATGTATACCAATCCTGATTTCTTATGTGTTTCCGCCTAGTCGCCTAGGTGTCATGGCGGTACACTAGCATCGCGTCTCGCCTTGGCGCTGTGACAACTATGTTCTAAACCTAACACTCCTAATCTCCTATAATCCATAACCAAGTTGAACTACTCTACCCTTTAATCTTTTCCCCAAACCCCCGTGTTATGGGTCATTTCCTCAGTCAACTGCAGAAACTACATGCCTGTCGAATCACATCTCCCTAATCTTCTTACGACTACCCTACCTCATAAAACTTTCCACCACTAATCTCTTTTCCCCTCTTCACGTGAGCACCAATGCTCCTTGTCTCCACAGAAATCACTCCCACCTTGCTGTATATATCCCTTTCTAATATTATCACTCTAATTCTAAGTGTTTCCATGTATACACCTAAGCATCTTCGTATTTGTTGCTCAAGCGTGTGGTTTTATTTCGTCAACACTCTACCTCGCACACCACTATGTCGTACAGTAGAGCAGGTCTAACCACTGCCCAATGAAATTTACCTTTCAGTTTTGGTGACATATTCTTATCACACATGGCTCCAAATGTGAGCCTCCATTTATTTCAGTTTGCTCCGATCGATGCACGATGTTACCTTCAATCTCTCCATCGCGTTGGAGATTGATCAGGTGCGTGAAATATACCCTTTTGGGGATGGCTTGAGGCTATATCTTAACCTCTTCTTCCGACTCATGCAATCTGAATTTGCACTCCAAATACTCAGCCTCGACCTGCTTTACACTCCAAAATTTGCCTCCAATCCAAACCTTTAGCTCCTTATGTATTAACTGGACCTATTAAGCACATAAGGAATAAACTCAGAAATCATGCTCGTATTTCTATGCTGCACTTAGAACCTGCCTGATGTACTGTTTTATAGGTTTCTGCAATGTTTATGATAGGTACTATCAATGTTGGCAATGAATGGATGGGAGCTTCCACAATCTGATCGAAGGGTACTGCAAGTAAGCACTTCATGCAACGAGGAGAGCATTTCTGGGATTGCATGCCTGCTGGATTCCTCTCCATACGTTGAGACATTGGGCATAGATGGCTATAAACCCAAGAAGGTAAGTATTCTGTTTCTAATTCAAGGCATGAGTTTGTGAGGCTAATTTTGTTTCGATCCTTGTTGCTTATATCTCTATCTTGTTAGAAGATTAAACAAGCATTATACTACTGTAAAAAACTGTTAGTTCTTGAATGTATATAGAGTCTTGTGTTGCTAGTAGTTTTCTGATGGCGCAAGAAAGGATCATGAAATGGAAAAGAGACTGATATCTTTATGTAGTCGGCCGTTGCCCATAGAGCTAAAAGTGTCGCTATTGGCAATATTTTAGCTTTGGCTAAATAAAGTACCAAATAAAATGACACATCAAATCAAACTTCCTCATACATTAAACAGCTCTGTTTCTTTAATGCATGCTGTGTGTGTGTTGTATGCGTGATGTGTATATTACCAAAAAACACTTGCATTTTTATACTGCATATTTGATTTCAGCTTTGGTGGTTTTATTGTGTTATGGGTTTCTTAGACAATGGGCGGGTCACCTGCCGGTGCAAGGCATGATTTGAGAGGTGACCTACTGCATCTGAAGACGATTGAAATCACAATATGGCCAGAACCAAATGATGATGGCGAACCGATGTTGGAATTGGCTGAAATTTTGCTAAAGAGGAGTAAGGTCTTGGAAAGGTTGGTGGTTCACGTTATAAGAACAGTTGACTTTGTGAGTGTAATACAAAGACTGCTTGAGTGCCCGAGATCCTCCCCAAATGCAGTCGTCCTCCTTCCTTAGTGGGGACACACCACATTGCACGAGCACCCTGCTGGCGCCCGTCCTGCTCTGTTGGATGTTGTATTACCAGCGTCATTTTGCCCTTTTTTTCTACTAGACCAGACATTGTATCATCCCATATATGTAACTATCTATGGCTTGTTAGGTGCATTATGCTTTTCGGGTTACCCGTTCTCATCACTTTGGTTTCCGGATTGCGTTCTTTATGTTGTATTTTTTGTCAACCATATAATGAGTATCATCATATATTCATTTGGCTAATTCTTAGAGTTTTGGAGGAGTGGTTGATACCACATGTCTATAAGAGTAATGACGACAACGAGTTCATTCAGTTAATGACAAGCTAGCCATATTTGACTTTTCCTTAGAGAATCTTAAGATAATCATGTTGCTTTAAAAACACCTGAATTTATCATTTGTCTTCAAAGTAAGTTGTCTAACGTATGAACAAAGAATTAACTCAATAATGTACTAATACACCTATGAATAGAGATGTGTAATGATATCTTCTTATGAGATATTATTATAAAGACACTCATATTCAGATGCCAAGTGATACATTTTCTACAAAAATAAAAATAAAAAATTATACTCTCTCCTTCCCAATGTATTAGCTCAAGTAAAGGAAAAATGAAGTGACATTGACTTATTTGCTTTCACTTAATGCTCTCAACTCTCCCCACATAAAGGGCATTTTCAACTCTTGTTCATTCTGATCCCAGATGGGAATGAAACATAAGAGCCACTTACAAGCATGTTTGTGCAGGAGCAGCAACAACAGGAGGTTAGAAAAAAACGTCGGAAAGTGCGAGCCGAGGGTTGGAGTAACGAGTGGAAAGTATTTGCGTGGCAACAAATCTATTAGCCGCTTCGGTATAGTGAGTACCATCCCAGTTCACATATTGTGACCTCTTGTCGCACACTTCAGACCCCGGCGCACCACACAGGGAGGTAGACTTGTAGTTGTATTGGCCCCCACCATAGCCGCAACATGCTGTCATGGCATTCTCAAAACCATACGTGGAGGAATTCGCGATCAAGTCGTACTTGATGCTGTACACATCCACATATACTATTACGGCGCCCTCCATTTGAGGGCGAAGCTGGTTGCAGAGGGTAAAGAGCTCCCTGTTGAACTCAAGTGCGCCCTTGTTGACGGATATCGCACATCCATGCTCGTCAAGCTCACCCGGTGAATAGTTTCTTCTTGTCAATACTTTTGGCAGGCAACCAAGCGGCCCTGTGTTGTGCACCCAAAACCTCCTTGCTCCTTGTTGGTAAAGGCCCTATACATGTATATGTTACATTATATATATACACAAACAGACAGAGAGACAGAGAGTCAGAGCCATTTTGAAAGTGAAAAAACAACATAAACAACACTATGTTGTTTGGCAAATTTGTCAGGTTGATTCACCCTAAAAGAGAGTGAAGTTATAACAATGGAGTAGTAATAATATGGAGGGAGGACTCACCCTGATGGCATTTCCAATTTCAGAAATGAAGTAGGGGATCATCCTCTGTACAGCTTCATAATTAGGAAATGACTGAGAACCAAATGTGGCGTCGAGGTCGTTCTGTCCTATGTCAATCACATAAAGCCCATTCTCAAACTCCTCCTCATCCCCTGGTAAATATCTGTCCCCTGAAACAAAAGATTATATATGCCCCCAGAACGAATGGGAGGTTTCGATTGAATGAACGAATGTACCATCCTCCATTAATTGGCATAGACTAACATAGTAGTCGGAGTAGTAGTAACAATATATAGGCATATATACAACCTTTAGAGAACAAATCAAGGGAACGTTGCTTGAATCTACGGAAGTGATCGACTTGGTTCTGCAAGCTAAAGAGAGCAGAGGGAGGAGTAGCAGAAGCACCGCTCATCGCAAAGTTTGCCCCGTTCCTGAAATCTGCCCCAACCGACTCCACGTATGGACTCAGGTGACTTGCATTCAAACTCTCACCTGCACCCATGCGGCCATGCCATAACAACATCAATCAAACTATCAATCAATCAATAGTAATTGAGAAAAGACCCTTTGAGAGCCAAACAACCCATTTTGGCAGTTTTTTGGAGTTATAAATAAAAATCATTTCTTTCTCACACAAGAAGTCGAGTACTAGTCGTCCATCAGACATGCGGCCCTGGACGAGGGTTTGTGGGAGCTGCGAGATGGTTCCGCGCATGACGAAGTAGGTTCCGGTGTCGGAATTGGAATCGCCGAAATTGAAGACGACTGGTGCCGGGTGACACCCAGAAAGGAGCAGTAGTGAAGTGAGAATGAAAACCAGAAAGGGAGGAGGAAGAAGAAGGCATGATGATGATGATGATCTTTCCTTCACACCAGCGGCGGCCATTACCCTGCACCAACTACCTCCTCTCTTTCTTCTTCTTCTTCTTCTTCTTTCTTCTTTCTTCTTCTTCAATTTGGAAAGGGAGAGTGAAAGATATGATAAAGAATTGTATAAAGTGTTCTCTAGCAAAGGCTGGAAATTTGTCTCTGTTCCTTTCTGACTGTATCGTTGCACACCCGCCAGTCGTAATATTGTTACTTTTGCTTCTTTTTTTTTTTTACGGATTTTTATTTGAAATATTTGCTACTCCCTCCGTCCCCCTAAGATGTTCTCATTTTGACTTTTGGTGGTTTTTAAGGAGAGTTGAAGATAGGTGAAAGTTTACCATAATACCCTTAATGAAAATGGATGGAGTGTATTAAATGAGGTGGGTGAGGTGTAATAAATAAAGTAAGTGGGGGTAATTGTGGTATTTAATTGTTAAAAAATGAAATGAGAAGATCTATTGTGGACAAAGAAAAAGGGTCATTGGGAAGATCTATGGGGGACAAAGGGAGTAAAACTTATTTCATTTTTATTTGAAATATTTTAAACTATTTAATTCCTTAAATAGTAAGGAGTACTTAATAATATCCAAAATGAGAAATAATATTCAGTGATGCCAAATATTTACTTGAATAATAACTAAAAGTGCTACATTAGGAAAAAACACGTATGATGTTATTTAGGGAAAGTTATTACTCCCTCCGTCCCAATTTAAATCGCCCGTTTTGACTTTTGGGCATATTTAAGGAAAATAAAAAATAGAGTTGATTTTTTGAAATTGACATTACTTTTTAGGAGGAGTGATGATGAATGAGAAGATAAGGTGAAGAAGAGTGACTTATTTTAGGGGTAGTTTAGATATTTTATTTTTAAAAGTTTACGAAAACAACTAACATGCAACTTATTTTAGTGCTATTTAAGTAAATTCACCTATGAAATAATGTAAACAATACGGATTATAATTTTATCTCTAAAATAAAATGAAAAAACAATTAAAGACATTCTCAAAAGAAATCTTAGAACTGCTCAATTTTACATAAACACTCTAAGATTCAATAAATGACGTAGATGTTTTCATATGCTAAAAGAAAAATGCTAGAGTTACACTAAAGATGTACCCCATATATCTTTCACCCCTCTTTGTCCACATAAATTGGCAAGAAATTCAAAATAAATAAATAAACAAAAATCAAATAAAAATAAGTGGTGGAAAAGGAGGTGGTGTACATTTAGGATACACTTTTGGTGTACCCCTAGCATTCCTTATGCTAAAATGAGCAATGCTAGGGGTACACAAAAGGTGTACCCCATTTGTCCCTCATTTCCTTCTCCACCACCCATTTTTATCTATTTTTATTTATTTAATATTTTTTTTAAATTCTTGCCCATTTTTGTGGTAATGGAGGGGGTGGGGGACAAATGAGGTATACTTTTGGTGTACCCCTATCATTTTTCTGCTAAAATTGCTTCTCCAAGAATTTATACTCCTTTGAGTTCTTAATTTTTTCTTGTTTTGATTGTTTTTTGTCAAACTGTAACTCTTTGGCCCTAAATTATGAGAGTAGTATATTGATTTATACTACGTAATATATATGGAATATAATTAGGTTTATCTTAGGATACAATTTTGATATACCAAATCTTTATAACATTTATAAATGTGGAAGAGCTTTTAGGACCAGAGGAGGTATATGGTTATCTATGTTTGTAGAAAGAGTGTCATTGTTTGACAAAAAAAGTCAAAACATGAAAAAAATTAAGACCGGAGGGGATATATGTTTATATATGTTCTCGCAATGTTGGAGTAAACATATGTCAATGTTGGAGCACCAATGTCAACATATGAAAATTCGAATAGAATCGTTAAGATTTATTAAATCTCAAAATATTTATGTAAAGTCGAGCAATTCTAGGAGTAATTAATGATCTTAATATACTAAAAAAAGTGAAAAAAATACTCGGAATTATTTAGACAAATTCGTAAAGGAACTCTTTTGACAAAATCATGAAGGAATTGAGCAGAAGTCCTAAAGTATTAATCAAAGTCTTTGAATAATAATTTATCAAATTCCAAACATACACTAATCATGTCATCAAGGGCTAATTCTTTTATTGTCCTTAGGTTCACACTATTTTTATGAATCTTAATATAGATATAATGAAACTTTAAGAAAGTATTAGACCTTTTGCAAAAAAATAGTTCTAACTCCCACCTCATTAAAATTACGCGAGAAGTCCTCATTTTACACATGAAACTTAGAATCACAAAAACACAACTCATCATCAAGGAGTTACATAAAATGCTCTTGATTAATAGAAACTATAGTTGGTCTCGATCGGTCAAGTTAATTTTGGATATTTTAAATTCGAGCAAGAATGGGGTTGCAACAAAAAATGCTTGTTGATAAATCATGATACAATATAGGAGTAACTCGGTTCAGGTTGACCCAACAGGTTATCAATTTTTGTAGAATATCTAAAATAAAACTTACATTTTGCATGAGAAATAATAAAAATATAAAATATAAAAATTATAAATATATAAAATCTATATTAATTCATTTTTCAATGCTAAAAAAGTCTTATTTGTTTGCACGTTTTCATTAATTTGATAAGATAAAATATTTTTGTTACATCTTGTTTTATAAAACTTTAAATATAGTTTTGAACAATGTAAGTTGTACTTTTGTTGAGATACCAGTTTATAAATAAAATAAATTTTAAAAAATGAGATCTTACACATTATTAATAATGGGAAGAAAAAATGGACGGAAAGAGTATATTATTAGTCCTAGATATTTGAAAACCATTCTATATTCAATCCTATGTGGATTGTTTGTAGAAAACAATATTTGGATCAAAGACTAATTATAAAATGAATTTTAAATATCGAGGATCACGAATATAATATCTTAAAATTGAAAGTTATATGTAAAAAATTTCTGCGAGTATTATAAAAGACTATTCATGAAATATTATTCTGGAACTTATTTCTAGAGACAAGGGTTGGGTTATTACCCTAAAAACAGAAAAAAAGAAGTCAAGTTATTCATAGGATGAAGTAGAAACTTAATACGGAGTATATCACCTAAGTGAACCAAACTTTGAGTGATGCACCAGCATTGAAATTAAAAATTGGGAGCATTACTTGATACAATTGTCAAAGGGCATTTTTCAACTTTTTCAAGCAGGCGCGGGTGCGGGAGCAGCAATGGAAGAGAGTAAAACATCAGCGAGCGCCAGCTGAGGGGAGGAGTAGCGAGTGGAAAGTATTTGAGTGGCAACAAACTTGTTAGCCGCTTCGGTGTAGTGAAAGCCGTCCCAGTTTACGTGTTCTGATCTCTTCTCGCACACTTCAAACCCCGGCACGCCACATAGGGTGGTGTAGTTGAAGTTGTATTGCCCCCCACCATAGCCACAGCATGCTGTTATGGCATTCTCAAAACCATAGGTGGAGGAATTCGCAATCAGGTCGTATTTGATGTTGTGTACATCCACATATACTATTACGGCATCCTTCATTTCGCGGGTGAGCTTGTTGCAGAGGCGAAGGAGCTCGTCGTTGAATGCGCGTGCACCTTTGTTAACAGTGACAACACATCCATACTGGTCAAGCTCACTGGCTGAATACTTTCTGCTTGCCAATATTTCTGGCAAGCAACCCAGAGGCCCTGTATTGTGGACCCAAAACTTCCTGGCCCCTTGTTGGTAAAGGACCTATATATTGAACGAAAATCCTGTCAAATTTATGTACTGCATATATGCACCCTAGCTATATGCCTATATTAGTGCAGCTTTAAAATACAGGACTCACCCACATGGAGTTTTCAATTTCTGAAATGAGAGCGGAAATCCTCTTTACAACTTCATCATATGTATGAATACCAAATGCGGTGGCAAGGTCGTTCTGTCCTATGTCAATCAGATACAGCCCATTCTCAAACTCCTCGTTCCCTAGTAAATCTTTGTCCTCTACAAAAGATGCACATAATCAGAGATTGAGTAGGCAATTGATGTTCCCTAACCTGCATTAACTAAAATAATAAAAAGTTACAGAGTACGTATATAGAACCTTCAGAGAAGAAATCTAGGGAACGGCGTTTGAATCTACCAAAGTGAGCCACTTGGTTTTGCAAGCTAAAAAAATCAGAGGTGGGAATAATAGAAGAACCACTCATAGCAAAGTTTACCCCATTCGTGAAATTTGCACCCACAGATTCCACGAATGGACTCAGGTAACTTGCATTCAAGCTTTCACCTGCACCATACACACATCATACATACAACTTACAACATCAACCTAGCAATTGATGGAGTAGATTTCCTAATGGTGTGTGTAGTACGCACATAAGAAATCAAGTATCAATCGTCCATCCGACATACGACCCTGGAACTGGAGTGATAACGATTGGATGACAGATTGTGGGAGCTGTGCAATCTTCCCGTGCATGATAAAGTACGTTCCTGTATCAGAATTGGAATCCCCAAAATTGAAAATGACAGGTCTCGGGTTATATCCCGAAATACCAGAAACAAGAAGTAAAATGCCAATAAAAACTAGAGATGGAGCACTGAAGAAGAGGGAAGGAAGAAGACAAGATCTTTCCTTTACACTATCCATCATTAGCCTGGACATACTCTTTCTTCTTCGGTTTGGAACTGGCAAGGACCAGTTTTTTTTCTTGCAGAACCAATATAACATGACGACGAGGAGATTAAGGCGTTTTGAAAACCTTAAAGAGGGCATTTTTATGCATTGCCCATTATTCATAGCATGCTTATTGTAACATTGAATGCATATCACTTACGTTAAGAAAAACTCAAACAACTATGAAACTTATTAATTACTACGTAGTTCACGAACCCGTATTTAATGAACTCATATGTTGCATTCAATGCAACAAAAAAATAGCCATCTCATTAATAACTAGTTTCCTACAAAAGACATGATCCACTCAGCTCAACAAACTGCATCTGAATTTCCCTTCAGACATGACAAGCTGCTCAGATTTCACAACGGCATCAAGTGGGAGAGGACTAAAGCTACGGGAAGGGCCATAGAAATGAGGAAACACATTGGTGTCATCAACGGCTTCGTAAATCAATCCGTCTCCAAGCTGAAAGATCAAAACAACACATTAGCAAAGCTCTTCATAAAGTTGAAAGGAAACGAATTAGACAACATGATGGACGGCTGTGAAATAAATGACCTTCTTAGCATCAATTTGCAGCAAGAATAGGTCCTTACGAAAATTCATGAAGAACTTCTCTAGTGTCGATCCAACCTGCGAAGAACAATATATATTTAACAAGAAAATACACTATGAATGGGAAATTAGGTTCATATCGATTAGTTAATTATGGGGGAGAATTAGGAAACTCATGTTTTAATATGATCGCAGAGAAGAAGAAGAGGAGGAGGAAGAATGAAAGGCGCTTAATTTGGCGGACCTGATTGAGCATGCTGAGATGTATATAGCCAGAGGCGGCGTCGACTTCACGGCCAAAGCTGCTTCCGCTCTTCTGCATTGCCTCCCACTCCTCGCCTGTGCAAATTCGATACACAAATCCTTCGTACACTCCGTCGCTCGAACCCATCGCCGCCGAATTTTCTTCACCTCCGTTACAATTGGAAAACAAAGCAATGAACACAAGTTCAAATCGTTTTTGTACTCCTAATATAATACAGATTCCGGCTCAAGAATCGGGACAAATAATGGTTAGGGTGTACCAAAATACCAGCCCAATATTGTTTGGGACAAGACTTAGGTCAATCCGTATGGTGACTTATTCTAACGACTACTTTATTTAAAAATTACTAACCATATTTTAAAAAGTTAACGCTTTATCTCTACCTTTTTCATATACAAGTTTTTCTCATCTTTTTAAATGTTTTTTAAAATCATATTTTGGATCCCTTGTATTTACAATTTCTTTGGCAACAACAGTATTTAAAAAATTCTCAACAAGTTCCAGGAAAAATCAATCCAACACCCAGTGGCGGATCCAGGATTGTAAATGACTGGGGGCGGGATAATAAGGTGGAAGTTCGGGGACAGCGCCCCCAAATTTTTTTAAAGATGCTTTTAAATTATAATGATTTTCATTTAATTTTATACTATCAAACAAGTTTAAAATAAGTAAAACAACGTATCTCAAAAGTAGCAAAGTGTTATACGGAGTACTAAATGAATTACGTATAACGAAGTATATTTAATATCACTAGAGTATTACAAATACTTCACTTTATATTCTATTCAAAGATGCAACAAACTTTTTTTTTAAATCCATAACCAAAAATTGCTATAAACTAAGAAGGAAGTAATATTTGCCTATTTAGACCATCATTTTATTTACTAGGCTGGTCCACTAAGGTCAGACTTTGGCAGTATACTTAAAACTAAAAAAAATAAAAAAAAAAATATTTTGACTGGGGGCAGCTGCCCCCCATATTCAAGAAGGTGGATCCGCCCCTGCCAACACCTATCCTAAAAAAACGATGTTGAGAACTTTGAGAGTGTTCTCGAAATGCAACCTTCCCAAAAATTCAAAGGGAAGGCCTTACGCCATAAAAAATATTTTACTTAGATTTTGGGAAAATAAAAGTATTCTCTCCGTCCCAAAAGAGAGTGTTACAGTTTACTATTCAAAAATGCAGGTACTTTTATTTATTTGTAAGTTTTCATCTATTATTTGATAAAATAAAATATTTTTTTCATTTTTTATTTTGTATGTAATTTTTATTCTTTTATTTCTATATCAATCTTTAAATAAAATAAATCTAAAAAATTAAAAATTTTCTTCATTAATGTGGCAAACATTGTTGGATTGAGGGAGTATCAAACATAGACGGTGTGAGATTTATAAGGGAGAGAAACTTGGGTATATATTATGACAATTCTTTTATGGTTCTTAAGTCTACTTAGGGGTGGGCGTAAAATCTGTTCCCGTTGGACCGTTCCGAAAAATTCTGGATCCGTTTTGTAATTGTACCGATATATTGGGACACATTTTTTTGGTCCCGAACCCGTTCCGTCCCAATATCAAATGGGACATGAGCGGGACAACTTAAATTTATACCGATCCGTCCCGTTTGTCTCGTTTCATCTACTCTACTAATATATAATACTAATTCTAGTCCAACATCCAAATACACTCATTCTTTAATTAATTAGTTATTTAATTAAATTAACTTCATAAGCTTGAAATTTATTTGGACCTGTTTCACTCATTGTTTTTTGTTGGATGGCTAGATGTTTCTTTTTTTGAATGAAATTTCACCCCCTTCCCCTTCTTATATTTGCGATTAGGACAAATTAGGACGACCCGAATCCGTCCCGTTTTATTCCGATCCCGAATTTTATGGGACAAAGCGGGATGAGATTGTAATCCGAACCGTTCCGGACCGTTTATATATAACGGGACAAGACGTGGGACAACCTAAAACTGGACCGTCCCGATCCGTGCCCACCCCTAAGTCTACTCATTACATGAACTTTTACATATAAAATGATTTTATGTAATAGGTCTTTTATAAAAAAATAAAATATGATTGTAAGCTCATGAAAAGTTTGTGAAAAAATCTATTCCATCCACCCTGAATTGAATGTCATTGTCACTGTTACAATTTTTCGATAATTTTTGTTTGTTTGTATATTTTATTAATAATTTGATAAAATAATATTTTTTTTGTCACTTCTTGTTTTATAAAATTATTTGTATAATTTTAAGATGTAACTTGTACTTCTTATTTCAATACTAATTTGTAATTAAAATAATTCACACACATATTATATACTCTACACTTATTTTCTTCGTCTAACCTTATTGATTTTGATTTAATTGGTATAAATTTTGATATGATTTGATGCAATCTAATGATAATCAAAATAAATAATAATAAATAATAATAATAATAATAATAATAATAATAATAATAAGTTAAAGAAAATACTCCTTCTGTTCCTAAATATTTGTCACACTTGTATCCCCAAAATAAAAATATCAAGTTTTTTAAATTCATTTTATTTACATATTGGTATAGAAATAAAAAATAAAATTTACATATCAAAAAATTACATGAAAAGTTTTTTGAAATAAGAGGTGTCAAGAATATTTATTTTATTAAATAACTAATGAAAATATCGAAATAAACAAAAGTTCCCCAACTACTGAAAAAACAAATGTAACAAATATTTAAGGATGGAGAGGGAGTAATAAGAATAAATTGAATGGTGGGGCCGAAAATGTAATTGTCAAAGGAGGTAAGAGAAGTCTCACCAAATGCAAACACGTAATACCCAGAGTACTGACAAAACTAAAATAAAGAAAGATAAAAAGCGAATAAAACAACACATGCAGAGAAGCTGCGTTGTTAAAAGTCAACCCCACTACTGCTCTGCCTTTTTTTAAATTTTGTTTTTGAGATTATTGCACTCAGCAATAAAAAAAAATTACCAGTAATAAAAAATACTGCGGATGTGATCTAAAATTAGTTTTTTTTAAATAGATTTAATTATTTTATTTTATACAGTACTACTTTTTAACAATTTTCATAAATTCTATAAACTCATCAAAATTAAACAAGGAGAGTAGGCGTATAAATGCATTCCATTTTTATTACCATTAATTTTTCTTTCTACAGTGTTGTTTAAAAACTGTGCAACACTTTCTCAAATTTTATGAAGTCAAAATGCGTAAAACAATTTCCTTAAAAAAAAAAAAGGAAAAGAAGCAGCGTACTAATAATACCGGGGTAATATTTAGACTTGTGAAAAATGTGACCACCGGGGGGGTGGGGCGGCCTACCCACCCACCCACCCACCCAACTTGAAAACTCTTCTGGAAAAAAACAGATCACAAGAGGAAGAGGAACCTTTCCTGCATTATTATTTTCTTCTCATATAGTCCACACACACACACGATCGTCATCATCATCATCATCATCATCTTCTACTGCCTTCTTTTAATTTGTTTCATCATATATATAAAATTCAATAATTAAGAGGAGGAGGAGGATTGATTCCACTGGCCAAAACCTGGCCTGATAGCGGTTCCAATAAGAACACCAAAGCAGCAGCTCAGGATTCCATTGTCTCTGCCACCCACTTTCCATCCAGATCACCGCCTTAACTAATTAATTACTCCTCCTTCACTCTATTATTATTATTATTATTATTAACAGTACTTATATATAATCGTTTCTGAAGAAGAAGAAAGAAGAAAGAAGAAAGAAGAAAGAAAGAAAGAAAGATGGGAGTTGATGGCGGCGAGATAATAGTGCAAAAGAGCATCCCCGTCCTGGATCTCCCCCCTAGTTGTGCCGCCATGGTATCCATCTTATTAAATCATACTATTTCCTTCTTTCTTCTCAATTTATTAACACTCTCCGCTTCATATAAACAAATCCGAGCTGATTCCAATTTTTATCTCTCTTCTTCTTATTATTGCTACGCTGCTTGCTTGATTCTTCATCCCATGATGTGAAATTGACACCACATCCAGCTTGGTTGATTGTTCTGGTTTTGTTTTGATCAGGATGTCAAACCCCCGCCGCCAGAAGCGGCTGCTCCTCCCCCTCCACCTGGGGAATTCGTTCCCAGCATCCGCTCCGGCAGCTCCTCCGATATTGGGCCGCGCAGGTACATGGAGGATGAGCACATCCGGATAGACAACCTTCCCGCGCATCTCGGCTCCCTCTTCACCCTCCCTAATCCCAGCGCCTTCTACGGGGTATATATATCTAATGATAACTAACTCTGATCCATCCATCGCGTGTAGCTAGCTAGCTAGCTACTTCTTACCGAGTTCGTGTTTATATTTGATGCCGGTCTTCCATAAAATCTTTTGCAGATATTTGATGGCCACGGAGGAGCCGAGGCGGCAGCTTATGTCAGAAAGAATGCCATTAGGTTCTTCTTCAAAGATGCTCACTTCCCCCAAACCTGTGATAATATTGATGATCCTGTTTTCTTGGGAGAGCTGGAGACCTGTCTGCGCCGCGGCTTTCTGCTCGCTGACCTCGCTCTGGCCGACGAGCGTAGCGTTAGCACCTCGTCCGGGACAACTGCCCTCACGGCCCTCCTACTAGGAAGGTAAATGTTCTTCTGTTGAAGTGTGTCCGGAAATGAAACAAATGTCTAAACAGTTCGACAATCAATCAGTAATGGTATGATGTTTGGCAGGCTGTTGATGGTGGCCAATGTGGGGGACTGTCGGGCAGTGCTTAGCAGGAAAGGGGAGGCCTTTGACATGTCTCAAGACCACAGACCGAATTGCTCGGGAGAGAGGAGGAGAGTGGAAGCACTGGGTGCATTCGTAGACGACGGTTATCTCAACGGGGTTCTGTCCGTGACTCGGGCACTAGGGGACTGGGACATGAAGCTGCCTCGTGGGTCCCCCTCCCCGCTAACGGCAGAGCCTGAACTGAAGCAGATCCTTCTGACCGAAGACGACGAGTTCCTCATCATCGGCTGCGATGGGATTTGGGATGTGATGTCCAGCCAAGAGGCAGTCAGCCTGGTGAGACGCGGGCTGAGGAGGCACGATGACCCCGAACAGTGCGCCAAGGACCTCGTCACCGAGGCCCTCCGTCTCAACACCTTTGACAATCTCACCGTCATAGTCGTCTCTTTTGCTTCCCTCGAACATCTCGACCCATCCCCGACGCATCATCATCTTCATCATCATCATCATCGGAGGTTGAGGTGTTGCACCTTCTCCGCTGAGGCCATCTGCAACCTGCGGAGCTTGTTGCAGGGTGGTGTTAATAATAACAATGGCGGCAGCAACTGACTGTGTAGAGAACACGCGAACGAGCTTCACGCTTTGGGAATGTAGCAAGTTTTGGGAAGGAACTTCTGTACATATGATTTGGTTTTGAATGCTCCCTTATATGTGTGTGTTGACGACATTTGCAGTGTTTTTCTTTTAAAAACTATCTGATGTGTATAGGCAGATCCACAGCCTGTTTTGTTTATGTACTCGTAAATATTTATTTTTTGTACGTGTACATGTAACATTGATATCAGTATAAAATAAATTAATGTTCGATCTGAAGATTTGATACACAGTAATGCAGTTAGTATAAACAGAGAAAGTTAAAGGTCTTGAAGGGGTATCTTGTAAACTATGCATTTTTATCATTTCCACTTGTGTATAAAGAGAGATTAACGATGGAATAATCTCAGGGAGTGTCTGCAAAAGTACTATGACCGTAGGTGGCATTTAAAATATAAAGTTACACCGAATTACTCCGTAGTACTTCAGTAGTACCTATTTAAAGCTCTTATGTTGCTTTTACTACAATCAATGGCTTGTTTAAACCTTAAAAAACAAGGCCAGGCAAACATATGAGTGGATAGATTCAATCACTGGTCACTTTTCCACAGCATTGGCATCAATGGGTGGACCAGCTGTGTAGTTCTTGGCAAAGTTTGTGAACCCTTCTAACCCACGGATCAGTAAGCTTTCAAGAAAAGGTCGCAACGCCTGGGCGCACCAAGGAAATTAGAAAGAAGATTCACAAAGGAAAGATTCACTATCAAAGCAAAATCTGAGTTAGTATTGTAGATCAGAGTTTGGAATTCTCACTGATGCCACGGGAATCAACAATGAAGGAACTTCATACGAAACTGTTAGCTGAAATTAGTGAAGATCGAAATAAGTGCAAGAGAATGTAAAGATACACTGGTCTGATTTATAGTCGAACATTAGAAAGGCTGCATTAAACCATTGCGTTTTTCAAAATATATGACACGCTGCAGCTTTCTTCAGGTTTTCATTTACAACAGGTAATTTAAAAAATCAAGTGCACCACACAAGTTTACCAATACTCTACTATGGAGTAACTTATATATGAAGTACTTGGTATTATATTCATCGCATTCAACTACTCAACCATGTTTCTTTCGGGCTTACAGTAAAGAGAAATAGGCAGGGAGGAAGACCTACCTCCACAGTACATGATGAAGCACCTTTAGGGAAAAAACGAATAACTCCCCTGTCATCATAGGTAAGAAAGTAATTAGATCGCAGCACCATTTGGAAGTCATGAGACATTTCACAGCAAACATATTGAAAGCACATACTATCTTTTAAGTTTTATTTATCAATGAAACATGTGCACTTAACAGATCATTTCCATCTCCGATCTCCCCACTCTCTCCGATCATTTCCATCTCTGGTGAACAAAGTTTACCCAGAGGGAAATCCTCCAATTTTCCTTTATCTAAGAAACCTATGCATATAAACTGTTCCCCCTACTCCCACCCCCCAAAATATACCCTTCTTATACATTTCAATTTACCCTTTTCCAACAATAACAAATCCATTATAATCCCAATTCCGTTAGGGTTTGAGGATTGAAGTTTCTGTAAGGTTTCTGTTAGACCCTTCATGCATTGATTCATTTGTTGCCCAAACCTTGATGCGGAGTAGAAAGGAAGAAACAATGGAAATTTGATATCGCATTTAGATTTAGTTCATTACTTGCCCGAGGCTAAAGCATTGCCAAAATGGCCCTTTTTAATTTCAAGAGAGAAGACATACAGAGTATATGATAAGGTGACTTTTAATGAGGTCATTTTAGACGAAGTATTATATTTTTGTTACAAAGTAATTTCTTTTCCTTAAAGTGCGTTATTCAATCAACCCAGGCAGATAAATTGGAACGGGTACAATCTTCTACACTTCATCCAGTTTTGTTTATGGGCAAAAACTAGAAGCAGTAGTTAACCAAAAAAACACCTGCAATAGTGCTCCATAAAGTATGAAACATCAGTAAATCTGTAAATTGACATTATAAGATTCAGTACTTATTAGGAAGACCTTCCAGGGATCTCCAGTGAATTTTCTTGTTTGGAATTGGCTGCTCACAACGGGTAAATACCATTAGCATAGAGTTTAATGGCAGAACCACAAATGTGCATGAATGAGAATGAGAAGTTAATGAGGACCAAGAAGGAACAAAATTAAATGAATATAGCCTTACTTGCATATTATGGGCAAGCCATGAGAATTCAATATCCTGTCCAAATGCTTTATACTTCAGTGACCATCGAGATAGCTCCGGCTTATCTTCCAAAATCTAAGAATACAATCTAAATCAACATCTCTTAGCTGGAAATCCCAATTTATAATGAGGGTGATGTTGGTGTTCTAACTTTCAATACTCAGTAATCCGTATATATAGATAGAGTGATCCAGGATATAGTACTACTGAAAAGTGCCAAAATTTTGAACATCAATGTTACCGGGGCACAGAAGAAATTCTCAGGATCTATAAGCTCACAATTAGGTTATAAAAATAGGGGATCTCACAAACACGATCAGTCTCAGGAAGTTGATAAATCAAATGTTGCAAAACTAAAGCTGATCATGAAGTCAAACTTGATCTGTTTCTTACTTCTTACCAAAGCAGCTACAAAGGGGAATGAATTCAAAGGGTTTTAAAAACGCGCACCTTAACAGAGGAAATGAACGGCATCCACTGAGGAATGGCTTCCCGATCGGAGTAACATTTATAAGCAGTCGAACTGGCCACATCTATGTCCATCTTCACCCTGTATCAATCAGATCCATGAGTGACGTTTCCTTCTATGATTCATAAATTACACTCCGTAGACCGAAATAATAACAATAATACTCCGTAATAGAGAGCGATGGAGGAAACTTACGTGCAATCCTGCCATTCCATGACCGGGGAGAAGAGGGGTCTATGTCTGGGGGATGAACGGCGAGACGCCTGCCGGCAGAGAAAGCCATGGGACACACTGATGAATGAAGACGACGATATAGAAGTTGAATTTCTTATCCTGCCAGAGGATAGTGGAAAGATGCTATGGTGGGAGCTAATAGCGCGGTTTGGCGACGAGGTTGGGGTCGGAAGTGGAACTACGGCGAAGGTTGCAGACATTCCGGCGACACCGGGAAGGTACCAGTTTAACTGGCTATATAGCGGCAGTTTTTATGTCACTGCAAGAAAAAAAAATATGCCCCTCACTCCCACAATAATTTTCACCGGCCTTTTTTTTTTTTAATTTCTTTTAAGTTTAAGATAGCACTCCCCAATCCCCAGTTCCCATCCCAAATTTTTATTATTGACTTAGTTTAATTTTATTACTATTTTTAACTAGTTTCGCTATTTATTTAGTAGTATAATATAATCATATTTAGGAGTACATAATTTCTAAATCTTTAAGTTTTGTTATTTTCAATTTCATCATAATAAAATAAATCAAAATAATTTTTATTTAACTTCATAAATAAAAAAGGACACTATAAATTCAAATAGAGAAAGCAAATAAATTTGATCTAGGAATTTAGTCCAATGAAAAATGAGGAGCGGGTGTCAAAAAATGACACTTGTGAATAAAGAAGTGAAAAAGAAAATAAAAAGAAAGTGTTTGCCAAAATCAACATGGGACGTTTGCAAATTGCAATTGACAAAGATAGAAAAAAAAATTTAAAATACAACTAATCATGTCATTATGTGTCACGTTATTCAATTGCGTTGCCCAATGCCCACTACAAATCCTTGCTCCCATACTCCACAATATTTCGCAGCCATCATTTTTGGCTTTAATCCATTTCAAAGTTTTTTTCAGGCCTCAACTTCATAACTACACCACTTACTAACATTTTTTATTACAATAAAGTTATTATTGTAATCTTGAATTATTATTTTCAAAATTAATCTACATCATTAAAATTTATCTAAAACATTAACGCTAATTAAAAAAGATGTCCTCAATTAGAGTCATTATGTGATATTGTTTTTGAATTAAATGTATATATGGTGTTGCTAAATCTATTTCATTTATTATAAATGTACAAATTTACCCTTAAAAATGCAAAAAGAGAAAGATAACATGTAAATTTAATTTAAGAATACTTTTCTAGTTCTCATAGAGAGTGAATTTAGTCTAACAGATTTAGCAAAACCATCTATTTAAATATTATGGTTTGTTGATTGAGATTTGTAATTATTTTTTTTACCGCGTTTTATATTAATTTTCTTTCACTTCGTACCGATATCGGTTAGTAGGAATTGTTCCTAGATGGATTACAACTTACAAGGAAGAATTGTTCCAGAGGAATCTAAACTCTGAACTGACAGATAATGGATCCTCGCGGGACTGTAGTATTCGCCACCGTAGGCAGACCTCAGTACGGCTTCGATATCTTCTCCGTCCAACCCGATTCCGCTAGGCCCACCGAGCGCCGCCTCACTGACGGTGTCTCCGTTAATTTCAACGGCCAGTTCCTCGACGAAGGCGAGGCGCTAGTCTTTGTCTCCGAGCGATCTGGATCGTCTCAGATTTACTTGCAGCCAAATTCCTCCCATGTCGGGAAGCTCGAGCAGTTGCTATCTCCCTCCGACAGCCTCTTTCATGACCGTCCCTTGATTAAGAACGATGGACGCCTGCTTTATATTTCGGCTCACGAACCACCCGCGGAGCCGTTCAAGAGCTGGTCAGCTCTGTACTCCACCGATCTTCGCCAGAGGAAAATCACTCGGTTAACCCCTTACGGCGCCGCCGATTTCAGCCCTTCTGTTTCTCAGTCCGGCAAATTCATAGCCGTAGCCTCTTACGGATCTCGTCCTTGGGGAGGCGAGTTTCACGATCTCCAGACAGATATTGTCGTTTTCTCCGACTCGGATCCAGCGGAGCGAATTATCCTCTGCCCACACGGTGGTTGGCCTCAGTGGTCCGGTGATTCCACCGTCTACTTCCACCGCCAAGCCGACGACGGCTGGTGGAGCATCTTCAAGGTGGATCTGCCAGAAGGTTTCAAACCTTCTGATTACTCAAATCAAAACTCATATGCTGCTGCCCCCGTTCGAGTCACTCCTCCAGGCCTCCACTGCTTCACCCCCGCAGCGATGCACAATTCAAGTAGAATCGCCACCGCAACCAGGCGGCGAGGCAGTAAATACCGGCACATTGAAATTTTTGACGTAGAGTCCGGCGAGTTTTATCCGGTGACGGAATTGCTGAACCCTAAGTGCAACCACTACAGCCCGTTTCTTTCCCCTGAATCGACCGTGCTGGGTTACCATCGATTCAGGGGCGAATCTTCGGACATAATTCCACATTTGGATCCCGTGACATCGCCCGTCAAAGACCTTCGGTTGCTCAGACTGAACGGATCATTCCCTTCCTTTTCTCCGTCGGGGGATTTTATCTTGTCCAGCGGCGACTTGGAGCCCGACTCGAGCCTCCTCCCAGCCCTCAGCATTGCCAGCTCAGACGGCTCTAAACGCTGGACGCTGTTAAAGGACCGTATGGCATTCGGCAACTCATGGAGCCCAACGGAGCCCGGAGTGATTTTCACGTCCATAGGGCCTATATTCGAGTCCGTCAAAGCTCCCGTACAGATAGCTCGTGTAACTTTTGATCCCCAAGATTTGACCGACGATTCTCTGGAGAATATTATCCCAACAGACATCAAAATTCTGACCAGAGAGTCCTCTGGCAACAACGCATTTCCGTCGTGCTCGCCGGACGGGAAACTCGTGGTCTTCAGGTCTGGTCATTCCGGACACAAGAATCTCTTCGTGATAGACTCTTCCAATGGAGAATTCGAAGGTGGGATCCGCCAGCTAACGGACGGGCCTTGGATCGACACCATGCCTAGCTGGTCACCCGACGGCAGCCTGATCGCGTTCTCTTCCAACAGACACAATCCGGGTGACGCCACGCGGTTCAGCATCTACGTCATCCGGCCAGACGGCACGGGTCTTTGCAGGATCCACGTGGCCGGGCCGCCGCCGCCGCCGGAAGGATCATCTTCTCCTGAGTACGAGATGAACGACAGGGAGCGGCTGAACCACGTGTGTTTCAGCTCGGATGGCGAGTGGCTGCTGTTCACGGCAAACTTGGGTGGGCTGACGGCAGAACCTGTGTCGCTGCCCCACCAGTTTCAGCCGTACGGCGACCTATACATGGTGAGGCTAGATGGGACTGCACTGCAGAGGCTGACGCTAAATGGATATGAGAATGGCACGCCGGCGTGGCACCCCAAAGTGGCGGATGACTCGGGACGCAAGAGCGCCGGTCAAAAATTAATAGGCCATTTTGACGAACCTACATGGATCACCTTTGACCTCTGAGTGCTTTTTATTATGGCTTTATTGCTACAACTATTACGGAGTAATTTTTTTTTTTGAAATAAAAGTTTGCCATTATGGGCGCAAAAGAATGTACAGAATGTAAATGTGGACATCTCCACAATTATCATATGGTTTTTATTTCTACACATCACCAAATAAGGTTCATGAACTATTTTGCACACATTGTATCATCAAATGAATGTACAGAATGTTAACGTGGTCGACTTGATTCATGGCCGAAGGTTTTCTCGCTACTGTAACACATGTACAAGAACCCATCTTCATCTTTAAACGATTCATAGACGGACTCCATTAAGGCAGCTACAAAGAGAAATATGGTAATAGAAATCTTTCTCAGGAAAAAATGAAAATGAGCATAAGAAAAACGAGAGGAGAGGTAGACTCACATGTTTGTGGCAAGGTGTTCTCAACAAATATAAACAGAGCCTTGCCAGGAGGCAGATGAAGCCGAGCACCCAAGATATGGATGAACTGCCCGACAGGCATGTCTCGTGGTACCAGGTATCTGCATATCACAGACCGAGAAAGAAACCCATTAACTAGGGAACTAGGGAAGGGAGGCAATGAGTTAAGGGAGCACGATGAGTAATGATCCTATCTAAGGCCAACTTAGATAAGCCCTTGGATATAGGGACTTGTTCAATATCAGAAAATGTGTCTCACGTCTCCAAAATGTGCATAATGTTATGAAGTAAGTAAGTTGAGGTGGTCTGTAAAGAAGAGAAATGTACGCGAAGATGCATCAATCATTAACGCAACTTTTGAATGGCCAGGTGTTTCAAAAATGAACAAGGAAAAAAAATTAAACACCGCTTGCTTACTTCTTTTTCTCCATCTCGGGGAGATCAGTTTTTGAATATCTTTCCACAACCACCTGCAAAAAAATGCAAATATTTTGCATGACTTAACAAGACATTGCCCCTTGAAGTACCTACCAATTGCTACCGTCAACGAACCGACTCAACCAAAAGCTCAAGCTTATGGTTGTCACCTTGGAAAGATTTAAGTCTTGCACGTGAAACTTTAAATTTTTAGATTCGGGTAGAGTTTCAAACCCGTGACCTCTTAGTCAACAAGGCTCCGATATCATGTCAAAGAACCGACTCAACCAAAAGCTCAAGCCTGTTTTTTATAGCTACTGACTTCTAAGTATTTATGAATCTGGTCACCTTGTCACTCATATAGTAACACTTCCTAGTTGATGCATACAAGGCTTTGAAGTTATACGGCATAACGGCATGGTCTATGTACGGAAAGAAAGAAATATTGCAAATGCAGAAGATCCTTACCAGTAAAGAAATTTTGGGTTTGAAGGTTCTACAATCTACATGGATAGTTGGATACTGAAGCAATGTGCACTAAGAGACTATGCAGTGTAATTCCCTAAATCCTAATAAATTTCAATATCTAATGAAGCTCTTCTATAACATCATCCACCCCGCCCTAAATACTTCTGTTCGTTTGCCCTAGTTTCTTCACCAAGCCTTTAAAACTTTTCTTGTTTGCTAATTTGGAGTACTGAGATTAGAACTACAAGTCTCCGAAAGAGTTTGACATACACAAACATAACTGGGTTTAGCTAAACCTAAAATCCCCAAATTTGACTGCGATTCAAGCAAGACAAGAGTAAGTATAGGAAAATTGAGAGATGAAAATCACCCAAAACAAAGATCAAGAAGCAAAATGGACTGGGGAAGAGGAAGGCGTACAGGCAAACGATCAGGATATTTGGCAATCATGTCTTGCGATTCTTGGAGTCTTTTCTCTGTAATTAATTACGGAGTGTTTAATTAATTAGGGAATGGGGAATAACGATTAACAACGAGAGAAAAAAAAAAAGAAAGAAAGATGAATAGAGAGAAAGAAGGAACCGGGAGTGAATTGTTGCTTGAAGGATTGGGCTTTCCCCATCTTTCTTTCTTTCTTCGGCTGCGGTGCCCAGGTGAGAAGAAGGATCGGGATGAAAAGCAGGAAGAGAGAGAATAGATATGGCGTTGTTCTGAACTTCTGATTCAATTCAATTCACCTTTATTCTTTACTTCCCAGGCATCGATCGGGTCAGGCCTAGCTCGTCTCCTTAGACTGGGAAAAATCCGGAAGTGCTAATTTGACCGAAGGCCCAATATTTTGTTACCAACTATGTATAAAATCTCATTGTTTTTTAAATTATTATAATTGAAAATCTGTATAAAAATAAAAAAAAACTACAAATTATATCATTCAAAAATATATTAAAAATTGTACAAAATGAAATGTTATTAGAATATTTAATTTTATCAATCTATCAATAAAATATAAAAAAAAATTAATAGTAACTACAGGAAACATTATACTCTTTTCGTGCAAAATTAATAATCCTAATTTCTGTTTTGGATCGTCCCAAACTAATTTTCCACTTTCTATTTTTGAAAAACTTTTTGTAACTCACATTTGTTCTCTCTCATCTACATAACTTTCATTCATACAATTTTGTTTTTTTCTTAAAATTCGTACAAAGTCAAACTATGAGTATTAATTAGAGACAGAGAAAGTGATTTTTTAATTGTTAACTTTGAAAGAATAACTATGTTATCACTTCACATTAACTTTGCTTTACAAATAGAAATTACGTATAATCTTTCAAATTTTTATGTAATTATTGGCATTATCTATATTTTAACTGTAAGTAATAGAGTAGATTGTAGAACGAAAAACATACCATGAGAATGTTTAAACATTTCAAAGACATACTCCTAGAAGAAGTAAGATGAATTATGGATCTAGTTGGAATAAAATTTACGGGATAATTTTATTTATTACACAAAATGATGTGATAAATTTGTTCCAATTAAATAGGAGTATTTGAGGTGGCCTCCTAATAGTTCGGGCCGATCCGAAATTTAACCAGACCAAAAAAATCCCAAGAAGCATGCGGATTCTATGTTTTGGGAATTGGAAGTCCCCATATTTTCGAGCTAGTTTGAATTGTTAGCATTTTGAGTTGAGGTTGAAACATAACAAAAGAATGAAACCACAAATTGTATTTTAACTTGTTCTCCCCATGTAAAAGGGCGGGCATGTAATAGGAAGATGGTCCATTAATATAAATTAAACTAAAATCCGAAATAGAAAAAATAAAGAAGAATAAGGAAATGGAATCAATCAATCATCCATTGAGAGGATCGGAGAGGAATCCCTTTTGGCGGAAGCTAAGGATGAAATCGTCCAGCATCTGTGGCAAGCTTATGAAAGGAGGGGAAAACCCCAACTCCATTATTTTGGTGCAGTCTAAGCTATGGGGGCCATCGTCTCCTTCCTCATTGCTGCACCTGCAAATCAATCATCATCTTCATCATCATATATAGGCCCATTGGAGGAGTATTTGATTGATTAGAATGTTTAAGAAAGAAAGAAAGAAAAAGAAAGCTAGTCTACTTGGATTCATAAGGGTAGGATGGATATTTAGCCCTCAACATGTGAATGATCTGAGAGAAGTGAGCCACGGTGGTGGAGCATATGAGCCTGCACCCCGACGCGCGCGGCGTCTCCATCGCCAGCAAATGCGCCCTCACCGCGTCCTCTACGTGCACAAACCCAACCGTCTTGTTCGGGTACTCTCCCACCATGCCCTTCACTATCCCCAGCAGCAGCCTCAGCGTGCTCGTTGGTCGCGGCGTCAGCAGTGGCCCCACCACGAACGACGGATTCACCACCACCAACTCTGTCCCGCTCTCCTCCCCTGCCCACTTCCACGCTTCTTGCTCCGCCACCGTCTTCGCGTACGGATACCACAACTGCACCCAACACAACTCGAGAGTTTATTTCTAGATACATTGAAAAAAACGAATGAATGAATGTAGACACGCTTTATGTCTACATTCATTGGCGTCAGGATACCACAACTGCATCCAATACAGGTGGAAAAAAGTTGATTTCTAGATACATTGAATAATGAATGAATGTAGACACACTGTACGTCTATATACATTCATTTTCAATGTATCTAAAAAATCACAATGGACAACTAAAATGGAATACATTGTAGCGTTTGCAGTAATCGAGATCGGTCCAATGAGACTCATTAAGAGGCGACACGTGAGTCGCATCATGGCGGTATCTAATGGAGGAGCAAGAGGAGGTGAGGACGACCCTTTTCACCGCCGCTCTTCGACAAGATCTGAGGACATTCAAGGTGCCCTTCACACACGGATCAATTAGTGTTTCCCGAATGTCGCGATCCTTGGGAACGAGGACAGGGGAGGCGGTGTGGAACACCCCATCCACTCCCTCGACGGCATCGTCGAAGCTCCCTTCCTCCATCAGATCAGCTTTCACTATCTTCAGCCTCCCCTCTCTCGACGCTCTCTCGTTTAGATCCCATAGAAACCCAACCTTCTCCGCGTTCTCTGGATCCCGAACCGTTGTTCTAACTCTGTACCCCTTGTCCAGAAGGGCCTTCACAAGGTTTGCCCCAACCAGACCCGTCCCCCCTGTCACACAGTACTCCGCTGCCCTTTCTTCGTCCCTGCCCTCCCCCATCTCCATATTGTGTGTTTGTATATTAGCTTGTAAACATACACACATACTTTTATATATGCCATGGATATGTCGCATGCAGATTGTGCTTGCTAGCTACCTAGCTGCAGATGAGCAGGTAGAAAACTGCTATTCCATGTATGCTTTTTCACAATAAACAAAGGGGATGGATCATGGATGCAACTAGATAAATAAAATAAAATAAAAACACACCATCTTTCACTATTAATTCTTTCAAGTTAAAATAAAGATGACCCCTCTGTTTACAAATGTAACTCTAGGGGCAATATATTCAAATAGGGAGTCAAATTGAAAGGGGACAGACATAGGCCTACACAAATACATTTCTTGAACTAGCTAGCTAGAAAGCGGGAAAAAATGAAGCGACTTCGTCGTATAATAAAGATACAAGTATTACATACACATAAATTATATATAGGAGCAGAATTTTAGAATGGGGATTTCCTAAGGACACCTCAGTTATACAGTTTTATTCACGCATACAGATACAAACAACAAAGGAGCGAGCGAGGAGGGCTCACACATGTTTTTTCAGAGCACTAACCCCAGACTATATAGAGCCATAGTCCAATGAATCCCACCTCAAGGGTTGAAACAAGTCAAACTTCTTAATATAGGGTGTGCTCTTGAATAGAAGAGCAACACAAACACATACTGCAGCTATTACAACCATGGAAAGCATTGCGGGCCTATAGAGTAGGGATGGCCCGCCCGTTCGATAACTTGTCTTCTTCTGATCACACACCCGGCATGGGCCCCGCTGAATGGGTTTCATATCGGTCCTTGAAATCTCAAAAGTTGTGCTGGAACCATCGGTTTGCTTCAGGTTATATTTATCTTTGGGGGTAAGAGCACTGGGAATATCAACTGCCACATGGCTGGGGGCAGAGGCTTTCCTGTTGAGCAGTTTCCGCTGGACCAGATGAATGTAAGAGTAATGCCCTCGCAGACGCGCATAATCTTCGGGTGTAAACCCAGCATTATCACGGGCGTTCTTCCATGCATCCATTCCCACCTGCACAAAACCACATAAATGTAAAAAATGGTTTCACGATACTTGTTTACTAACATGCTAAGAAAAGCATTAACAACTCCATCCATCCCCCACAAAGATTGGTCTGAATGTTATTCCAAGTGGATTGAGAAGGGTTGTTAGGTTTGTTGGAAAATAACTCCGTAATTAACTTCGGGCCCCTTTCGTGGGGTTGTTAGGTTAGTTGGAATAATAATTGACTTCATGACACATAAGCAATTATCCTTTTTCCGTTTTGTGAAGTTAATTAATGAACTACTCAGATCTTCCTATTCTGGAAATCAACAGTTAAATAGGGGTAAACTTGGAAATGGAGAGCATAATACCTTACAAAGTCATACCATATATAAAAAAAATAAAAAGAAGACAAATGCAGAATACAGAGAGGAGAAACATCAGTACCTTTCCAGGATCACCGGTCAATGCATCAATCACATCTTCAGATCCATCTATACCAGCCGCCACATGCAGCGGGGTCAAGCCTGAAGGACCAACTACGTTAGGTCTGAACAAAAATCCACTGTCATGTCCAGCCAGATCCCTATATTCACAGCTTAGAAAATCAGCCACTCTGTCGGGAGTGTATCTTAATAACAGCTCCACCAAAGACCTTGAATTTCTCCTAACAGCTTTGTGAAGGAGACTCATTTCAGAGAATGCGTGCTTCAAGGATGGCTGCTCTCCACTGCCCACAATTCCATTAAAAAGAATATCCAAAAGTTTCTTCACAACAGCACACCAATTATGGTCAACAGAGAAATCCATAAGCCATGCAAACCGATGTAATGAAAAGCAAGTAGTGTTAGGATTCTCCATTCCCTCCAATCGAGATTTTAAATTGTTTCTGTGAAGAAGCCATCCCATTTCATGCAAGAAATCCATGGCTTGATTTCTTACTTCCATTTTATCAGCCTGCCCATCCACATAATCTTCTTGATTCAACTCTATCTCAGTCTCGAGCGTACAAATTTCTGTGCAAACATCCAGCTCAGCAACTATAAAAGGAAAGAAGCTGCTACTAAGACCACAATCTTCAACCTGAACAAACAAAGGTAACGGAGTAATTTCAATGATGAAATTCTTCTAACATTATGCCACACATACTCCCTCCGTGCAGAATCAGTTATCCATTTCCCAAGACATCTTATTTTGAAGAAGTGGGCATTAAATATCAAATAAATCATAATTTGCTTACTAAATACGAAAAGTGGACAACTAATTCCAAACAGATAAAAACACGAAAGCGGCCAATTAAATCCAAACGGAGGGAGTATGTATTAGCTCACATAGCATGAGCAAGCTAGGAAAAGTCAGCCATAATTCACCTCTATGAAGCCTCTTCCAGCTGCCGCAGGAAACAAACATGTAAAATTTACAGATTGGATCTCATGATACTCGTCCTCGAGGTCATTATGATGTTCTGATGCCTCTGTACTAGCTTCTGGAACAAGATAGTTGCCTTCTATTGCACAGAGCAGCCTGGGAAATAAAAATATCTCTTAGCCACGCAAAAATACATTACCAAAGTCCAAAACATGGTGAGGTGAAATTTACTTCCTCGTGGAATTAGAGTGAGCATCTAAAAACTGTGTTTCAAAGATTATCGTACCAAGAAATGCTAAGGGCTCATTGGCTGAGCACTAACATTAAGCAAAACATACCTTGTTGAGGGTGTAGATAAGTTAAAGCCTTTAACTGTAATTTGAGACCTCCCAGACACAGACATAGCAATAGGCTTGACACTCAGAATTGTACTTGACTCGTTACTTTTGAAATGTAAGGATTTTTCAACAAGAACCTGACCTGTAACAAGAAAAAAAATTGAAAAAGAACTCAACCTTAGATTAAGAACTGAGATGTAGATGAAAACAAAAAACATTTTTTCCTGATAGTTTACAGGAATGGAAGTAAACAATCCAAAGAATATATCATGTGAACAAACCACTGCATATGAATGCTATTTGGTTCTGCACCCTAACGTAAGTCCATCCATTTCTCCAGAACTTGCAATCATCAGAAGCATCTAGAAGTCTACTCAAGCTGGAATTCAACCCGCAGCAAAGCTACAAAAAGGCAATAGTAACCCTAACCATTAACACAATTTACAGTAAGCACAGATAGTGTTTAATGTCATGCTTTAAGGCAGCAAGCATACCTCCTCCCAAGATGATTCAGGAAGACGAAGATAAACTGTTAATACCACACAACCAGGCCTGATATAGCTTTCAATGTCTGTTGGACTATGAGATAGCCAATCCAGAATCTGTCATTTAAATGTTAATGTAGCTAGGCTTTTGAACTGGTGGGAAATGAAGACTGAGACATTTCACCTCCAAGAAAAATGATATAGCAATGGAGGTGTGAGAAACAAATCTAGTAACGAACCTGTGCACGTAACAGGAATGGGAAATCACTTGGATCTTTCCCGAAGAGTTTAAAAACAATACGATCTGTGCGGCTCTGCGATTTTATATAAAAAAATCTCACAAGATTACTACTAAATATCACAATATGACTGATAAATCTGCATGACTCATCCATATAATTCTATACACTACACAAAAAAAACATAAACAGATGTTGCGGCAGTAGTGCATATACTGTACCTGAGGATCTCCATTGGAACTTGATGGTGATTGCGCAGAACCTGAATCTGAATGCCCACTTACTTGAGGTGGACTTGACTGCTGAGAGTCTTTTTGTACCCATGACGGAAATTCTGGTGAGCCAGAAACCATATCAGCAGGGACAGGCAACCTCTCTACACCTTCTACGCCATCATCCGAATCAACATAAATGTCATTCAAATCAAAACCAGCCAGTTTACTCCTCCCAGCAGAACTTTCCTGACCCGGTGCATTAGCCAAAGAACTGCTTTCATTATGAAATACGTTGACTACTTTATTTGGCAGCTTGGGCACGGAAGCCGTGCAAGGTTGCTCTTTTGGTCTTGAAGGGGCCGGAGACTCAGTTGAGGTCAAAGCTGATATTAATTCAGAATCTCTAAAAGCTGGCCCATTGCTCAACAAATTCGAAGAATCATGCAGAATCCCGGATATACTTTTGTCTGCAGTCAAGGAACCCTGGCTAGCAAGGTTCTTTAGAAGGTGAGAAAGCAAATTCTGATCCTCCGTAGAGCTCCCTCTGTTTGCTGCATAATGATAAGACAAGTATCGTGGAAAATAAATAACCAACATAAGTAAAAGCTAGAATGATTTGACTTGAAGATTTGCTATACTTGAAAACATGCTGAGAAAAAAAAAAGTACTCCATCTTGGAAGACTTACAGTGCATTTGGGCAAGTATCTTTAGTAAGCTCATTAGTAGATAACCACTAGCTTGGCTATCATTCATCGCATTGTTAGTGGGAGCTGTATCAGGTTGCGTTTTCCTTCTCCTTTTATTATGACCAGCTAAACGCCTACGGCAACTACGCTTTCCATCATCAAACTCCTCAAGTGCATGAAACCTACACATACATGGAAATGTTGATGACACTAAAATATGGTGTTTTTTTTGCAAGATCCAATTGACAACTTTGGGTAAGAGCACATAGCCGAGGTATTTTTTGTTTACAATTCAAAGAACTTTGACTAAGCTAAAAGGAAGCATCGATTCACAAGCTATGAATTGTGAAATTGTCATGCCACAAAATAAGAAAAGGTCAATCTTGAGAGAAGTGGAATACCATGGTAGGATCTCCAAAAAAAATAAAAAATGATCAATCAAATTTCATACTGACCTGCTGCACTGCTGACAGAAACGCTGCATAATGTTGCCAACAAGTGCCTTGGTTGACTTGGAATGAATCTCACAAACCTTGTGCCTCCGGTGGTAGTCTTTGGCCTTGCTGAGATCTGCCACACAATCATTAACCTGACAAACGGCTCGACTAGAAGTTGATCCGGACAGCCTGGTGTTTTTCCCAACTGTTCCATCCAATATCTGCAGTTCCCTCTCATCACCAGGAGATCCACCTTCTCCCAGCCTCAAGGTGAGGTTATTACCAGTCTCCCCTTCAAAGGTATCTTCCTCCTCGAACGCCAGAACCCTCTGCCGTTTTTCCAGTCCCCTTCTCTCTTTGTCAGGTCCAATAGTTACTCCCTCAGAGCAAGAGGATGAGCTGTTGGATGTGGAGAGTCCAGTTTGGAGGGGGAAGAACTGTCTGCCCTGGTAACTTGATGGATTGGGATTGAGATGCGTGGCGACGAAGAAATGACCGTCCCATCTCCAATCACCGGGATCCCAATCCAGACTCCTTTTCCCCACAGCCCTCAAACTCAAATCCGTTGCACCTAAATCGTAAAGCACTTGAGCTTGACCTCCAATTCTGGCCTCCATTAATGGGATTGCCACACCCAGAAGTAGCAAGTGCAAAGAAAGAAAGAAAGATCAAATCTTGTGGCAGTCCCAGATCAGAGCAGGAATTTCCCGAATCTCATCCAAAAGAGGGGAAACATACAAATGAAGCTAATCAGCATCAGTTCGTCCCAGAAGAAGTGAGTTTTAACCAACTACGGAAATAGATTCATGAATCACATCAAGATCCACGGACACGGCATCTTCCTAATTCATTAGTAGTGGGAACCCCCAAATCTGTTCGATTTCAACAAGAAACCGCATCGATTACACACAGCTGAGCGAGCAGACCACCAAAAATTCGTTGATAAAAGAATATATATATATATAATCAAGAGCTTTGAGCTTGTGGGGTGAAGATTTAAAAAAGGGTGGGGGGCGGAAAGAACAAATATAGAATAGTTGTTGGTGTAGAAGAACGAGTGACGGAAAAGCAGAGTACCGCGGCGGAGAGGATGGTTGTTTTGGCTGCCTGCCTGACTGACTGACTGACTCCGTATATTANCGATTTCAACAAGAAACCGCATCGATTACACACAGCTGAGCGAGCAGACCACCAAAAATTCGTTGATAAAAGAATATATATATATATAATCAAGAGCTTTGAGCTTGTGGGGTGAAGATTTAAAAAAGGGTGGGGGGCGGAAAGAACAAATATAGAATAGTTGTTGGTGTAGAAGAACGAGTGACGGAAAAGCAGAGTACCGCGGCGGAGAGGATGGTTGTTTTGGCTGCCTGCCTGACTGACTGACTGACTCCGTATATTATTATTACTATGAAACCAGAAAAAAGAAAATGGCGAAAAGTTGGGTGTGAAAGTAAGTTGTGGAGCGTCACAAGTGATGTGTCGTCCGCGCTATTTTCCGTTTCTCCCTTCTTTTCTTTCTTTCTTTTTCCTCTTTACAGTTTTCGACATTCACTCTTCTGATAAATTTCATACTTGTCCTTTTCGAGTATTAATCTACAAAGTCAATGTATAAAAAAGACCTTAAATACTTCTGTAATTTTTTTTGGTCGGATAAGAAATCTTTCTAATTTCATACTTCTCACTAGACTTTTTTTTCTTCATTTTTAACTAAGGTTGTGTTTGGACGAAGGGAGGTAGAATCAAGTAAGAATTAAAACATACAGTACCTTATTTAGGGGAAGAAAGTGAGATAGGTAAATGAAGGTGGATAGAGGTAACCTAATCGTGTAGCAGTGGAATTTTTGGTGTTTCTCTGCTTTCTTTTCATTTTTGTGCTATTTTTTATACATTTATTTTTTTGCTATTTTTTCCTGTATTTTTATGTTTGTTTTTTTTGTGATTTACCTTATAAATAATTATCAAAACATTGTTTTACATAATTAGAATATTATATAATTTTATTTATAAAGTCAATTATGATTCGGCGGAAATTACTTTAAGAAACGAATAAAGAAAAACAAACATAAGAGTATTTAAGTAATTTTATTGTTTATCCTACCTCGCATTACCTAATAAATATCCAAACACTATTTTTCAAATCATTACTATACTTCATCTAAATTAAATTACCTACTTTCAATTATTTATCATTACCTACCTAATAAAATTGTACCTACCTCAAACCAAATTTACCAAGTGAAGTTAGAATAAGATGGAGAAGCACATGAGCACATAATTAAGTGCACCACCAGATTACATGGGGCCATATGGATCGCCCTCACCTTGCCAATATATTGATTTTATTTTTATTTAAACGACATCTTAGGCTCGAAGCTAGCTACTTCTATACTTTCTCCGTTATTAAGGTTGTGTTCCGTTCGCCTGATCTGATTTGATTATTTGAAAATCTGATATGATATGATTTGGTCTGATTTGATCTGATTACAGTTAAAATAAGTAATAACAAAAAAATAAGTTGAATGGAACGCTACCTTAATCATTTACACTTTAAGCAAAAATGAAGTAAAATTTCAAGTTTTTTCGATTCATTTTGTTTATAGATTGGTATATAAATAAATAAAATAAAATTGACATATTTAAAAGGTATATCAAAGTTTTCTATAAAATAATAGGTGACAAGAATATTTTATTTTATTAAATACTCAATGAAAATCACAAATAAATGAGAATTCTTACTATTTTTAAATAGTAAAATATGTAAATCAATTAGGCGAGGAGAGTATTTTATTTACAAAGTGCGTTGCTAATTTGGTGTCTGAACTGATGGAAGGGAAAGAAAAGGGGTACAAGGGTTAGTGGAGTATCAATTTTGTAATTAATTTAATTGAATGTGTATGAAAGACCAGTTTTTTGTTGCATGTTTTGTCTCATTAATTAATTACTCTATTATTATTAATTAATTAATTATTATTGCTATAGTATTATTCAATGCTTATTTCAGTTATTTGGCAGCATGGCTTTTAATTTGTACAAGGGAACGAACATGCTATGTTCTACGCATGCTACCTAGCCAGCCAAATTCATTCCACTATTTATTCCCTTCATATCCTTCGTAAATTAATTTTCTCTCGTTTTTTACTTTACAAATATGCTCAATAATGAAATTTGAGCACTTATCATTTGATAATAAAAAGAGATAAATATACTCCATCCTTCCTGAATTATTTGTCATAGTTTGATTTTACGAAGCTTAAAAAATAATGTTGTAAAATAAAAAGTATTGCCTCCATCCCAAATTAGATTATACGGAGTATTTTTTATAGAACTTTCGACGTATTTTAATAACATGTACTTGGAGTAATTTTTATTAATTATTTTTATATCAATATTCAAATAAATTGATTTTTAAAATGAGAAGTTTTGTCTCGTAAATGGAAATTTTAATCCAATTTCAAACAGATAATAGATGATTGGACTTTTTTAGAAAAGTGAAAAAAATTGTTAACCTCATATTCTTTTCTTTGATTAATTATCTCGTACTCCATATCAGATAAGTGAAAAAAGTACTCCCTCCGTTCTTAAAAACTCTTCCTCTTTCATTTTTTTTACTTCCAACAAAACACTTCCACTTTCTATTAAAAAACCACTTTTATCCTTACTTTTTCATACCCTACTTATTACATCATACTTTTCTCTAATACTCAATCCGTCACATCTTATTTTTACCTATCACATCAAGGGCAAGATTAGAAATCAACTACAATTTAACACTTTTTTATTTTTACACAAAGTCAAAATAAGAACACTTTTATAGAACGGAGGGAGTACTATGAAAAATAACTACTTCCTCTATGTCTAAAAGGAGTTCTCAATTCGAAAGACTTGCAAAATTTCACGACTTTAAAAATGATTATATTTGCAAGTTCAAATAGAAATAAAAAAAAATGTACTTATTTAAGAACTATAATAAAAGTTGTATAAAAAAGGTAATCAAAATATTTTATTTTATTAAATTATAAAGGAAAGTATGCAATTGAAAATTATCGAAAGATTATAATAATATAATACTCCGTATTGAAGAGACAGATCATTTTGGAATAGATAAAGTATTTTTCATCATAAAATATTAAAAAAAGCAATTAATAAATCAGCTGCATACGAGTACTAATTGGCACGTAATAATGCCGTAATGAGTGATTTTTGTTATAGAGTTACGTGCTAGTTAACTAGTGATTAATTAGCAATGAGTAATTAACAGTAAAATGACTATTGTATTGAATTTTCTCATCATCTATTGCCTATTCCGTATTGGACGGTGCGTGTCTGCTTTTCTATTTCTTAAGAGTACTCCGTAGATTTTAGCACTAACACTGTTACGGATTATTATGACTCGGTATTCTTAATGACTTTGAAATTGTCTCTTTCGATGAAGCTTCGATAGGATAGAATCATCAAATTGTTCGTTTCGGTTGTGGTTGTTCTCTTTAATTTATTTATTTGTTTATTACTTAATATTATTAAAATTAGATCAGATTTGATCAAATCCAAACAAATCAGATTCAATCTAAATTATTTATTATTATGACATAATAATAATAAAGGATTCGAAAGTAATGCTCATGACCAGAACCGTGTGAAGTCATAACGTGTTTGAACAAAATTCTCGGTTTTCATACCAACCATGCAACCACAAGGTATCATGCAACTAGGTCCTAGGATTCCAAGTGTTTGTGACAACTATACACATAAATTTCTAATTTTTTATTTTAAATTTAGAACAAAATGTAGTGCTTTGTAGCATAAAGATTTATATTCTTATTTTTAGATGTAAGATATAGAAAAAATGTACTCTGTAATATTTTGTAGCATAATATTCTTATTTTTCAATGATTCGATACTTTAATAATAATAATAATTTATTGAATATTAAAAAGTAATTAACTGATTAAAATTTTCAATTATTGATTATTGTTAACAATATTTTATTATAATGTGTATATGAATTAATTATTTTTATTTCAAAAATCCAATAATTTTAGAATAAAGTTATGTGAAATTTGCACTAAATAGGACTAAAACATAATGACTTTCCTAATGTAGGACTTCTTTTTTATTCCTTAAATATGACTTATTAATGACCTAGTGGAAGGAATAATGTCCAGTAATGATGGATATTTAGTTGAATAATGACTACTTGATAATGACCAAAGGTCCTATATTGGGAAATAAAAACATATGGTCCTATATTGAGAAAGTCATTATGTTTTAGTCCTATTTAGGTAAATTTCTCTAAAGTTATTGATTGTATTAGAATATGAGTGATCATTATAGCTTTTAAAAGTTATTAAATTATGATAATAATTTTAAGTTTAATTTGAATTGAATTTAGATCAGGTCAGAACGGAACAAATCAAACCATTAGGTTCCTTGCTCGAGAACAAGGAGAGTCGTCCATGTGGCATAGAGGTTCGATGGATTGCACATTCTCGCTCGTCGAGTACAAACCAGTCTTAGAGAGTTTGAATCGCTTCGTCCTTTATCCTCTGGCGTCCGCCCCAATATCGAGTATGTGGCTCTTCTACATAAGTTTCCATATATTTTGAAAGTTGAAAACCTTCTTTTCCACTTGAAAATAAAGGTCAGACACCTCCGAGAGAATGTTGTAGGTGTTAGAATTATTTGTAGATGAAGAGATGGCAAGGGCTATGTGTTTACCTTTGTGTATATAATTGAGGTATACTTTTTGATGTACTCGTTATATTTTCACGTTAATGAGGAGAGAAAATAATAAGAAAACCAAGAGAAAAAAATGGTAGAAAAGTAATTGGTGAGAAAATGAAAAATGATTGTTATTTGGATTAAGACCGAGCGTAATGCTAAAAAATGATGCCTTCGTTTTAAATGATTGTTGTTTGGATTAATTGGTTGATGCCAATTAACAGTCCAAAGGGAAGAGGTCCCAAACTTACTCAAACGTTATCTACAAACTCTGGTAGCACCATCATGTCATTAGCAATGATGTCAATGGAAGCGTGATACATTTCATGATTGAAAAGCCACAAATTTTATTAAACCTATGCAACACATATTTAATTAAAAAATATTTCAATTTTAAAACACATGTCGATTGAAAAGCCACAAATTATAACATATGCAATACATATTTTAATATATTTTCTTTCCTACACACACAAACAAATATTTAGCATGTACATGTTTAAACACATGATTTTTGGATAGTGTTTAATTATTTTATGTCACTTTTTTTTTTGTAAATGCCCTAAAAGACATGAATTATTACCTATAGTCTAATAGAAAGTGACAGGAAAATGATAAAAAGATAAAAGAGGAGAAAATAAGTAACTGGGGAGAAAAGACACATTGCTCATACTATTTTCTCACCAATTTTGATGAGACTTTATTTATTGGAAATTTATGATTATTTTTTTCAACTATTCTATTTTGTCTCTCTTAAAACAAACAAGGGAAAGTGTTTTGTTTTGTGTGTTTTCTCACATTGTAATTTCTTTTCCTCCCCTGTTTTTCAAATCATTGGACCAATGTGTAACTTCCAGTGTTAAACATGTACGGAGTATACGTTTGTGTTGGGACTAGTGAAAAAATTGACCAATAACACTAGTGAAGAAGTCCATTGATTCCATTAAATTCCCGTGTTAAACATACATATACTCCCTCAATTTCTACTATTTAATTGTCTGGTTACTGTTTGAATTTAAATTTTTGGGACTAGTAATAAGTGTATCCAGTAAAAAAAAATGACCAATCGGGAGTGAAGTCCACTGATTACATGCCGAAGTTTATACTCCCCTCGCGTACAATTTGGGGAAATCAAGCACGACGACTTTTACTGTAAAATCGCCTCTGCTTCAACATTCTTTGTGCTTGATTTGCGCAATAATCTCCGCACCGATTTCAAAACGCTTCATCGATCTACAAGGAAATCTGGTCAATACTCCTCCCATTCCATTCACCTCCATCCCGTCGTCTTCTTCCTTCCTTCATTCATCCATTCATTCCCCATCCAGTTGAGCTGAGCTGAGCTGAGCTGCTGCTTAAAATATTTAATCGTGAGTTAATCTTATTCTTCCTTCTTCTTCATGACGTTTTTTTTCTGGTGTAATTATGATATTTTGTCCCCAAGAGTGGACACGAAATACAATCCACCCGTAGTGGAATTGGGACATCGCGCATTCATGTATATATATATATATATATATATATATATATATATATATATATATATATATATATTTGCGCGCAATCGCAGAGAATGCAACTTGCCAAAATCCCGGCCCCTTGCTCAATTATGGCTCGCAGGCCCACCTTGTTTTTGTGTTCTCTGGGTGGGGATCAGTTAATGCTTTCACCTCTCACTCATCACTCCGCACTTGGAGTGGACCAATCTACCTAAGCTCTCTCCAACACCATCATATTCACTCCTGTGATTTTATGCATTTCTAAGGGCCCATTTCTCCGAATCGGTTCATTTTCTGGGGAAAAAATTTGTGTTGTGGCATTCACTTTTGCCACAATTCTGCATCTTCCAGGCAGATTTAAACCATTTATGTCTGCCAAACTGAGCCCAACATTTAAGATCAAACACTTACCATCCATCCACCCACCCACTTATAAACATTCTCCATCAGCTTTTAATTAATCATTTTCTTACTTCTGTGATCATTTGCTGCCAAATCTAATCAACTGTGTTATACTGTGACAGCCTAGGTCTATTTCCAAAACATTTAAGAGCTTACTATACTACTTATGGAGTACATTTTACTACTCCCTCCTTCGGGATTTAGTTGCCCACTTTCCAAAATATATCTCAAATTTAAGGAAATGCGGCAGAGTGACAAAACATTCCTAAAAATTAGTTAGTTGATGCGAACAATGCTAATATGTATTTTTTTTATAATTCACAATAGCTGTTCACTAAATATGGTAAGTGGGCAATTGATTCCGGATGGCCCAAAAATTAAATCTTGACAACTAAATCTGGCTCGAAGGAGTAAAGATTTTCTTAGTCTTATGCTTTCGAATTATTGAGAATTCATCATCATCATCACCATCATTATTTCTAATGCTTGTTAAAGAGAGGGAAATGGGCATTTGCACATGCACACAATTGAGAAGTGCATGGGAGAAGATAACTTCATTCCATGTGCTAATCAATTGTCTTATGACTCTTCAGCTTTTGAGGCTGTGATCAGCCCCTTGAATTTTCATCTATCCTGTTGTCAACTTCATTGCACAATGTGGACTGCTCGTCGTTCAATGATAAAAGAGAAACATTCTTTCCGTTGGGGACTAGGGGCTCCTCATTGTTTACATATTATTCTTTGCTTACATCAGTTGCTATAAATCCTATCCGTAGAATCAATATGTTCACTACTATTTTTTGTGCCCTTCGTTTTTAAAATGCGAATGAAAATTACATTATAAATGAAAACTTTGATCTTGATGGAAGGGATTTTTTTCGGTTTTGTTTTTGCAGTGAGACATTAGGGGAGCAATCTATGAGCTGCTTTGGCTGTTGTAAGGAAGGTGATTTGAAGCAGACTTCTTATGGGGGAGGCCAGCATTCAGTGAAATTTTCAGCAGGTAAGAGAGCACAACTTAAGGGGTTAGTACTTAGTACATAGCATGAGATTTGAAATAGTACGGAGTACTTCTTATGGGATGTATTGAATAGATCTACTTTTATTTTTTAGGTTGGCCTCTCTTAGATTATTGATCTTAGGAAATGAGTTTATTTCCTAAATCCACTCCATTAACAGTTTCAGTTCCTTGGTGGAAGTGTCTACTTTTTGTATATCTTGTTGTCATTTCAGCTCTTTATATTTATTTTGGGCTGTGGAGTTAATGTTTTAATTTTCTTTCATAGTATTGAGTCTATTCACAGATGAACAAGAAATGAAGATTTTTTTATATTTTTCAGGTAAATATGAAAATAAACACGGAAAAGAGGCACCGGGTGGTATTCAAGACATTAAATCTCAGTCTATTGCAGTCCCTGCAATACCAATCACTGAACTTAGGGAGGTCACAGGTAATTTTGGGAGTGCTGCTTTAATTGGAGAAGGTTCGTATGGAAGAGTGTATTATGGAGACCTTAAAATTGGGAGGGCTGCTGCAATTAAGAATTTGGATTCAAACAAACAACCAGAGGAGGAATTCTTGGCACAGGTGCAATTGAATACCAAGACAATTTTCTCCTCACAGAGGATAGTACACTAAGAGCTTGTTCTCTTCGTTTGATCTTTCATTAGATCTAATCTGATTTTATTAAGGTCTTACCTAGTCTGATCTGATTGTAGTTATATTTAAAGGTGTTTCTAATTTGATCTGATATCTTATCTGATTCTAATAAGAATAAGTAATAAGTAGTAAGTTGAAGAGAACAAGCTCTAAGCACCTGATGATATCTACAGGTATCTATGGTTTCAAGGTTAAACCACGAAAATTTTGTTGAATTACTTGGCTATTCTGTTGATGGCGATCAACGTGTTCTTGCCTATGAGTTTGCATCCAATGGATCACTTCATGATATTCTTCATGGTATGTGATCCTTTCATAACGTTTGAAAAAATATTATTCAGCGTAGTTATTTCAGCTCCTCTTTCCGTTCAGCTTTTTTTTTGTTATCATTTGGAGCTTCACTCCAATTCCCAGCGGCCAGCACTATAGTCATTTAAATGACACACATCCAGTTCTGCAGAATGAATTTCCAATTTCTTGTGTGGCATTTCTTTTTTAGGGATATTCAAAAACACAATCCTAGATTGGTTTTGTTGAATATTCCAGCTAGAATAAAGTTCCTCAATCCTAGATTAGTAGTGTGTTGTGTTTGTTTGGAATCTTTTATTAATGCTTGTAGAACTTTCTTTTCATTGTACTTGGTGTTTTATCCATGCTATACTGTATACCCTATCATATTTTTTGTGCAGGTTGAGCCGGGGGTCTCTTGGAAACAGCCTCCCTGCTTCCAAGTAGGGGCAAGGTCTGCGTACACACACCCTCCCCAGACCCTACTGTAGTGGGATCCAACTGGGTTGTTGTTGTTGTTGTTGTAAACTAATACGCCATTCTGTTTAATTAACAATTTTTTCTCTTCATAGTTTGATTGTAAAAGAATGTAAGAAAGTATCAGGAGTAGTACATAATTTTCATTTTCAGAGGTGTTTCACTTCCCAGATATGTGAGATTTTGAAGGAGGCTATTGTAAGGCTATGCTTAGGAGTCAGGGTCTGGCGGGGAGGTTATTTTTTTAATAATCATAAAATATTATTTTACCTTGATTTATAAACAATAATAAAATGGTGAACTACTATCAACTTAATTTCATAGCCATCTACTTATTACCATAACTTGTTTATAATTCTCTTAATTAAAAATAAAAAATTACCCCTCCACTCTTTTTCCCTTCAAACCGAATTACAAACATAGTTTATGCACTTTCAGTATTCATATTTCAGGGAGGAAGGGAGTAAAAGGAGCACAACCTGGCCCTCTGCTTTCTTGGACACAGCGAGTTAAGATTGCTGTAGGAGCAGCTAGGGGCCTCGAGTATCTGCACGAAAAAGCTGAAGTTGAATTGGTGCATCGAGATATCAAATCCAGCAACATTCTGCTTTTTGATGATTATGTAGCAAAAATAGCTGATTTTGATTTATCCAACCAGTCTCCTGAAATGGCAGCACGCCTCCACTCAACTCGTGTTCTTGGCACATTTGGCTATCACGCTCCCGAGTAAGTAAAGCTAACATGAGCTTTGTATCTATCTATTTTATGCACATTTCATCATATATCCCTGTGGTTGTTTTTTAATCATACACGCCCTCTCCCACTGTGGATGTGGCTGGCTGCATTGTTGTAGATGTTGAAGCATCTGTTATTTGTGGTTTTGTGAATGGGTAGATATGCAATGACTGGGCAGCTAAATGCAAAGTGTGATGTGTACAGTTTTGGTGTTGTCCTTCTTGAGCTGCTCACCGGGCGTAAACCCGTTGATCAGACCCAACCGCGAGGCGAACAAAGTCTTGTTACATGGGTAATTCCATCCAACAACAGAAAATATGTTTTAATATTGTTTCCAATTGTTTGGTTTTTTATTCTAACACATTGTGTGGCATCTGCTAGGCTACTCCAAAACTCACTGAAGACAAGGTCCGACAATGTGTCGATCCAAGGCTGGCAGGAGAGTACCCCCCCAAAGCAATTGGAAAGGTAAATAAAGAACTTCGTTTTTTCCCTTTGCCCTGCCGAGACAAAATACTCCCTGCATTACCTTAGCTGTGGAATTATAATCCCAGTCCAAAAAGACAAGAATGTGGGTAAAAAAAAGGTACTAGAAAAAAAGAAAGAAATGAGATTGATTCTTTGTTTGATGCAGTTTGCTGCTGTCGCTTCGTTGTGTGTGCAATACGAGGCAGATTTTAGGCCAAACATGGGCATTGTGGTCAAGGCACTCCAGCCCCTTCTCAATACACGGCCCGGTATTGGTGGCGACGTGGGCCACGCGGCGTGACGAATGCTAGTAGTAGTACTATATTGGTTACAGTCAATTACACTTTTGTCCTTATTAGTTTGTACTTTATAGGCACATTGATCTGGTCCAACATGAGAGCGGGGTGTGTCTTTAGTACACCCTTTTCAAGTGTAATTGCTTGAAGAAAAAGAAAAGGACATTTGACTTCTTCAACCTTGAGGGATGATGAAGAGTTGTCTACATTCCCCATGTGTTTGTTTTGTTCATCTTATTCTTTTCTTCTTTGTATTTTGATCTTTTTTTCCCTTGATTATATAATTTGTTTCTTACCAAACACACAACTTTTATACCATACCAAAAGTATTGATTTCGAATCACAAACTATCCATTTTGAATCGGGACGGAGGGAGTATAATTCAGTTGTACAAGTATTAATTTAATACTTTGTATTTTTTTTAATATCATCACCTCTATTGCACTTTGTACACCGGATAGTTAATTGATTAATTTAACTTCAAAAAATCCAAGAAAAAATGTAGCATGGTCCTTGCAAAAAATTAAAATACATTAACCTTTTTAGCCTTTACTCCGTATTTGTTAGAAAAGGATAACTACAACTTGCGAGAATAAATATTTTTACTCCGTATTATTTACATCTTATTTCAATTGAAACTTGAAATTTGATAACTGTGAAATATGTAATTTGAAGTTTGAAAGTCGGACTCTACAAAGAACAAAACTAGAGTCCTCATAATTGAATGTTAGAATCTACTATTGACACCTTATAGTTTTGGTCTTAAATCTAAGTTTGGAGTCATAAATTTAAGTCTGAGTTTCGTTTGTAAAATCTATAAGTGAAACTAGGACTCTAGGAGTCTCCAATTTAACATTTTTAGTTAAATACTCTCTTTATCTCAAATTAAATATTCATTTTGATCATACACAAAATTTAAAAATGTAAAGTGTCTAAATGTATTAATTTGAAAGACAAAATAAGAATAATAATGACCATATATTTTTCCATATTAAAAAGTACAAATTAAATAATTCAATACTAAAAATAAATGATCGAATCTAATTGTGTAGTGAATTAAGAAAATAAAGAAAATTACTACTCCGTAAATGGGAAAAATTAGGTGAATCCCCCCCATTCCTTCCTCATCATAATCAAATGATCTAAACAGGTCCGAATCCAGAAATGGAAATTTAAGTTACCACTCCCTCCGTACTTGAAAAAAAAGGGGGAAAAAGAACCCCAGCACAGCAGGAACCCTAGTCCAAAACGATCTGAAACAGATCTGAATATCCATATCGGTCTTGAGTGTGGAGCTTCCATCTCGTCTCCTCCATTCCTCTCCTCCGCCATTTCGCCCCCATCAACTCGATGCAGCGAGCCCATCTCCACCGTCTACTGCTCATCTCGTCCTGCCTCATAAGAGAACTCCACCCTGAACTCATGCCCCTTCTCTCCTAACACCGCCGGAGCCTGTGCATATCACTGTTCTATTCAGAGACGTATTCCGGCCGTTTCCGAGGAATTCTACATCGTCTCCGTAATCCACCGGGAGTGTCCGAGGCTCTTCTCATAGTGTTTTTGCGTCTGCCGCGCCATTTCCCCACTGGTTGGGCGTGACATTGCTTCATAGCTACACAGGCATGATGATCAGCAAACAACTTCTTCTGACATATCTGTATCTCCTTATTTATATTTTGCTCTCATCTGGCGTCATTTTGTACAACAAGGTATGCTTCTCCTACTTCATGCCTTCTTTCATCAACAATGCCTTTTCATTCGCCTCACGGTTTAGCCCATGAGTATTCAAGGAAATCATGGCATGCATCCAGAGAACTCAATAAATAAAACACGCTCCATCTTCCTACCACAGATGTGAGGGAAGATAAATTGAACATAATCTGAAAGCCGTAGTTAATTTTTGGTAACCTGTTCTCCATCGTGTGGTGTTTTGGCCATAGTGCCATACTACATCGTTTATGGTTCTCTGAGTAGATTTATTTCAATCCATTTCACCTGTTAGTTAGTTCTTCATGAGACAATGCCAGTCTCAGTTGTGTAATTTTATCATCTCTGCATCACAAGTTCACAACTCCAGTCGCGTATGCATTTTCAGGTAGTGTGCTTGATATAATATTCGACAAGCTTGCTCTCTTCTTATCCCTTTGGTGTGTAGAGTTCCAATCTTTGTGAAATGATCTTAAAAGTTCATGTTCTTTGTGTGCCTTGTTTGTTTGTTTGCAGTGGGTGCTCTCACCAAAATATTTCAATTTCCCACTGCCCATAACGCTCACCATGATTCACATGGGCTTTTCTGGCTTAGTAGCATTCTTTCTTATCCGTGTTCTCAAGGTATGATAAGTCTGAATCTCTGTTCTATTTGCTTTATGTTCTGAAGGTTTGCCTATTTTTAAACTATTGAACATAATAAGATATACTATTGATTATAGAGTACTTGAGGACAGTCAATTTCAACAATTGGCATTTTGGCTAGTAGTTTAGTACTCCTTTTCATATGTATGCACATGTGTGTCATGTTATTCACCCAAGTACTCCTTTTCATATGTATGCACATGTGTGTCATGTTATTCACCCAATTTCATCTATTCATCCATATAAGGCAGATGCAGTTGCAGGTTTTCATTCTAGGAGTATTGAATGTCTTAGTCTATAGAATTTATAAATGCCCTTACATTAAAGTTTCTTTGATTGCCTTAAATCTTCTTGAATTTTAGTGTAGGACAATTTGTATATTACAGAGTAAATAGATTAGTACTACATTGGTCAGCAAGCAGTCAGATTTTTTTCTGGATCACTGTAGATGGGTTTACTTAGTGGAGATTATCCTTTGGAGTTTGCTTGTTTCAACTTTCAACCACTTGCTTATAATTGTGCATCCGCTTAGTCCCCTCCCCTCAAAGAAAAAAACCCCACCCCATGTGTGCTATTTTGTCCATGTGGTTCATTCTGGTCCATACCAGTATATCACCATCAACTCATTTCTTGTCAAATTTTTTTGTTCCGTGTAGGTTGTGTCCCCTGTCAAGATGACATTTGAAATGTAAGAAAGCTGCAACATACATTCACATCTTGGTTACATTTGTTGGTAACCTCCTACATTTACAATTTATTTTGCATGCACAGATATGCAACGTGTGTGATTCCAATCAGTGCTTTCTTTGCAGCTAGTCTTTGGTAAGTGCCTAAGTGACTGTGGTGTAAATGAGGAACTATATTTATTTCTTTCCTTCTACCAAGGCCTTCCATAATTTAGCTATATGCTGTTTTAAAATGCATCTACCATTTATCTACACAATCACTCTTCTATTTTGTATCAATTGGCCATTGGAGTGTAAATGCCTTCAGTTTCAACCATCTTACCTCAACATCATCTTAATTTCTTATCACATCATTGACATCAAATCACGTAGACGATATGGCAAGATAAAGAGGATGATCATCTCCAGTGATGATGGTGGAACCATGTTTTAGAAATTGGTTTATTTTTAAAAAGCAAAAAGGATATCTCATTCACTGCAATGGTTGAAACGCAAAATTTATTGCCACTTCCAGTATATGTCAGAAGTACACTATTGTATTTCACTAATAGTTATTAATTTATTATTTTACGTAACAATCAAATTGTGTACTTTTGCAGGTTTGGCAACACTGCTTATTTATTCATCTCTGTCGCCTTCATCCAGATGCTTAAGGCTCTAAGTATGTTTCTGTAGTGATCATAGGTACCATTTTAAAAATTCCATTTTGTCACCACATTTGAAATACTTATTAAATTGGGTTTACCATGCTTTTATCTTTAAAATACAGTGCCAGTTGCCACTTTTGTCGTAGCGGTAATTTGTGGAACAGACAAACTAAGATGTGATGTGTTCCTGAACATGGTATTGGTCAGCATTGGTGTTGTTGTGTCCTCCTATGGAGAAATTCATTTCAATGTTGTGGGCACAGTTTACCAAGTCACTGGCATATTCGCTGAGGCTCTTAGGCTAGTTTTAACTCAAGTTCTTCTCCAGAAAAAGGGCTTAACTCTGAATCCTGTCACTAGCTTGTATTACATTGCACCATGCAGGTACACTTCTCTCAATTCTGGGTTGACATATCTCTATTTTCTGTTTGCTAGTGTCTAGCACAAAACTGTTTCTACTTTCTAAAGTGGTGTTTGGATATTTAAGAAATACTCGTATACTTGGTATTAAAAATACTGAAGGGAAACATTGTGTTCTACCAATAAAGCTTGTTGAAGCCTGAAATGTATATGGGACACTTATAGTCTTCATTATATGCAGCTTCGTGTTCCTTTTCATTCCATGGTATCTTCTGGAGAAGCCTGAAATGGTAGTCTCGCAGATTCAATTCAATTTTTGGATTTTCTTTTCCAATGCACTATGTGCTTTAGCCTTAAATTTTGCAATATTCTTGGTGATCGGAAGAACTGGTGCTGTGACAATCCGAGTTGCTGGTGTCTTGAAAGACTGGATTCTTATTGCCCTATCAACTGTTGTTTTCCCCGAGTCAACAATTACCAAACTTAATATCATAGGCTATGCCATAGGTACACCTCTTATTCCATCTGATTTTTACCATAGTACTGTACCTGGCATCATATGGATTAATAAGAACGAAATGAAATACGGAGTAATTCTTAACATAATTTCTGCAGCATTATGTGGTGTCGTGATGTACAACTATCTTAAGGTAAAGGACGCTCGATCATCCCAACTTCCCGTTGTGGACCGACCTCTAAAGGTGGTAGAAATGAACTTTGAACCTTGCTTTGGATTCATTATTATTATTATTATTATTATTATTATTATTATTATTATTATTATTATTATGATCATCATCATCACCACCGCCACCACCACCATTATCCTCATCATCATCATTATTTTACCCTAACAGATACACTGCATAGGATAATAAGAAGTTCATTGTTTTCTACCCACAGGACCTTAAGATGGAGAAGAAGTCGTCTGATTTGTTCGTACCAGATGATGTTATTAGCAGCAGTGGAACAAGAAATGGATCCCAAGATTCAATGTCTGATGAAGAGGCGCCGTTGATTCCAACAGCTAGAATCTCTCATCTTGGACGAAGCCAACTTGGAGGCGGCAGCGGCCACTCTGCATGACCTGTTTAACACACTGCTAGCTTTGTTTTGTTCGATAGTAGAAAAAGTTAAGAAGCTGAGTTGAGGATTGCCTGGATTGGGACCATCAGAGATGTATACCTTTTTTTTTGCGAGAAGAAATTTCAATGTTTTTATTTCCAAGCCTCTTAATTGCCCACTTCATACTGTGAGTTATTGTACTGTAAATTTTTAATCAATGTTACCTATACAAAGACTCATCATTTATATGCACGGAGTAATGTTTTAAGCCGTTAATCTTCATGCTCTCGTTATGTTCCTTCACTTGTATTAATAGGAATGTTGTCACAAGGGTAGATACTTGGACATATATTATTGACACAATATTGGCCTTTGCAGCCCCTTTTTAGTTTATGGCCCGCCCATATTTTCCGTGAAAGCGATGAAACAAACATTGATTGTGCCTGAGAATATCAATCACTTTACATCAGAACTCTAAATTTGTGGTGGCTAGAGGGAAGAGTTGTATTTGGGACAAGGACTGATACAAGACCGAGCATTCACAAACCAAAAACGTTATTATTCAACCAGTGCTGAATGAATACACTGAGAATTTGAAGAGGCTCTGTTTACTGTTTTCCTCTGGTGTACATAAGTATGTATATATGTATGCAAGTGTAAATACACCAAATTGAATGCAGATAATATGCTTGTTCCTATACATTCAATATCAATGTTGTAGTTGAAATATGCTGCCTTCCTGTGTGCGATTTGATCAAGGGAGAAAAGGATTGTGAGAAGGATACGCCCGTTGTTCTTTTCTGTAAGCCCTGCAGATGTAAAAAGACTTGATTCAAACAAATGACTAAGGCAGAGTTAAAATTTTGACATGTACGAGGTCCTACAAAGCTCAATTAGGCCCTTAAGTGGGCTCTATACCCTACGGAGTACAATTTTCCAGCTATCCATCTCCCTCTGCTCGCTCCAATTGGTCTGGTGTCATATTATGACATCCGAGGTGGATGTTAGCAGAACCTCACTGTATTATTAAAGAGGGGATTTGTGTAATAGTAATAATGCCTTTAACTTCATCTGACCTGGCCACATTTGATCCTGCCAGTGCAAGTGTGCCTAGGATGACCAAAAGGAAGGGAACCCCAACCAGCATATGGTTCTTCCTCCCTCCATTTGCTCTTGGAACGCCTCCCGTACGGACCACATATGAGTATGCCCCTGTTTAGGATTCACTACCATATTCTTAGTCAAATGACATTACACTCTGAAAATGAAAAGAGACATCCACATTCAGCAATTAACTTGCCTGCTTGGGAGGAGTTCAGTACTCTTGCACCTGCAGTTATTATTTGTGCATTGAAATGACAACATTGTACGCAATATTGATACAACACCTCATTGTTAATCAATTAAAGTAAAATCACACATACTAACACAAAAACATTCGGACACTTCAATTGTTCCACAATTCAATGGGGGGAAAGGGATGACAAATTAGGGCAGCAGATGTGAGTGCAGAAGAGAGAAATACCAGAGCACAAGCAGCTGTACGCTTCAGAAATCTGCAGCAAAATGCACTCAGCTCAGAATTCAGAATAAAGCAAAATGCTGAAGCGCCGTATGAGCTAAAGCACGTGAAGGGCAAACGGATAGTGCTCACCATCTTGAACTTATACTCTGCATATGATTTTTCATGAGCAGGAAAGCGGTCTGGATGAGTTTCCCATACCATTGTCCTATAAGCAGCTTTAACCTGGCCACGCATTTCCAATCCATAAATATAACTCCCTCTAACTACTAGCAAAGCAATCTAATCTGATTTTGACAACAGTCTAGAACAGGAGTAGAAAAAAGATCAAGTATTAATTAATGGTCAAAGTACAAGGAGATGGAACGAATTCAACTTTTCAATTAAATGAAGAAATAGAGCAGAATTTTCTGAACTGGAGACATATCAGAAAGCGCTAGCATAAACTTCGCAGATCGGATCGAATAAACACGGAGTAGACAGAAATGGAAGGGGGCCAAAGTTGCATTAATGAATAGAAAAAGAGACGTGTGTTGTAGAGGTGTACCTGAGATGGAGAGGGGCGACAATCGGGGGGAAACCCTAGCAAGGCTTTTGCCTCGTCGGCCAGCATCTCAGCCGGGCAAGGAACGGATTTCAGATTAGGAAGAGGAGGGAGAAAGGGGAAGGGGAAATAGGGAATCCAACCAAAAATGGCAAGCAACAGGCGGCTGACTGCTGATGGATTCCTCACCGTTTTGAGCTGGCTGACCCCGTTTATTTGTGTTGGGCTGAATTTCTTACCGTAGTCACCAAAATTCCATTAACTCTTTTTAGTTTGTTTTAATAACGATTTAAAAAAGATATTTTTATATGATTGATATAAAAAAAATATTATATATCTAAGTTTATAATATATCACCTCAAACACACACAATGATGAAATTTTTTTATCCAAATTTAAAGTTTTCTTACATATTTATTTGGTTATTCATTTAATTGAATGATTTTTTAACACTTAAATTCTTCTAACATTTTCCAACATCTTCTAATTTTTTTCCAAGTCAGTTTCTTCTAAGTTCATCCAATTTCTTCAATATTCAACTCTGAAATTCCAATCCAAAAAAACATGGTCTAACTAAACATAAAAAATTATTTTCCCTCTCATAGCCTTTTCTTTTTTCTTTCATATTTCTTAAATCAAAAATATTGTTAGTATTATTAAAATTCAAGGTTAAATATAAATTATATAAAAAAAAGTTTTGAAAAAAAAGAATTATTAAAATATATATTTTATTTAATCAAATTATTAAAAAAAAACAGGCACCTAATTTTTTTTTTGTGAAAGAAAACATGCACCTAATTAATGGAGGGCAGCAGCAATAAGCTGGGAACCGCTGATGTCCTCCCTCTCCGTCCATATATTCATTCAAATGCAGAGACCACCCCACAAACAGGTTGTGGTTTCCCGCGAGCGTTGGTTGCTCCTTTCTTCGCGCCAACCCAATCATCCCGCCCTATATAAACTCCCCAATCCTTCCTCCTTCAAATCCCACTGCTCATCGCCATCTTTCTCTTAGCTTCTTCGATCGGTGCAGCAGTACTGTATATATCCATTAGTAGTAATAATAATAAAGAAGATAAATAAATAAATAATAAAAACGCGGCATTATATTATCAGTAGTACGTAGCTAGCTAGCTACCTCCATCCATCCATCCATCCATCGGGAGAAAGATGGCGGCCGCCAATAAGATTGTGCTGCCCCTAGTGTCCCTCGTCTTAGTCGTCGGGATCGTCTGCGGCGCCGTTCTTGTCTTCCACAGGAACGGCTCCCACGACGATTCCTCCTCCTCCTCCTCCTCTAACTCGGGAGATATTGCCTCGGGCTCTATGAGGTCCGTGACAACTTTCTGCCAGTACGCGGAATACAAGGATTCCTGCGCCAAGAGCCTCTCCGCCGTGGCCAACAACCAGTCCGCCACCACCAAGGACTTCATCCTTGCCATCCTCCAGTCCACCATCGACGAGGCCACCAAGTCCCACCAGGTCGCCCTCAACACCAAGGTCGACCAGGGCGTGGACCCCTACGACCACGTCGCCGTGGAGGACTGCAAGGAAATGCTCCAGGACGCCGTGGCTGACCTCCAGGCCTCCTTCTCCATGGTCGGCGACAGCGAGCTCCACACCCTCGGCGACCGGGCCGACGAGCTGCTCAACTGGCTGTCTGCGGTCTACGCCTACCAGACCACCTGCATCGAGCAGCTCGAGAAGCCGGAGTACAAGTCCGCCATCGAGAACGGGTTGGTCAACGCCACCCAGCTCACCAACAACGCCATCAACATCATCGCCGAGATGTCCAAGGTCCTCGAGGCGTTCAACGTCACCGCCGCCGCAGCCGACATGCTGAAGACCAAGGCCACCGACCTCACCTCCCGCCACCTCCTCGAATCCACAGAAGAGGGCCACGCCAGCGGAGACTACCCGACGTGGTTCCCTTCCGCCTACAGGAGGCTTCTGGCGGCGCAGAAGGCAGGACAGGTCACCCCTCATGCGGTGGTGGCCAAGGACGGGAGCGGCAAGTTCAAGACGGTGTCCGCGGCCCTGAGCGCGTACCCGCCGAAGCACCAGGGCAAGTACATCATCCACGTCAAGGCGGGGGTGTACGACGAGACGGTGCTGGTGGACAAGAAGATGGTGAACGTGTTCATGTACGGGGACGGGGCCGGGAAGACGATCATAACGGGGAAGAAGAACTTCGCCAAGGACAAGATCACCACCTCGAAGACGGCGACCTTCACGGCCCAGGGGAGCGGGTTCGTGGCGCGCGGGATCACCTTCCGGAACACGGCGGGAGCGGAGGGGCACCAGGCGGTGGCGCTGAGGAGCCAGTCTGACATGTCGGCGTTCTTCGACTGCTCCATCGAGGGGTACCAAGACACGCTGTACTACCACACCTACCGCCAGTTCTACCGGAACTGCGTCATCTCCGGGACCATAGACTTCATCTTCGGGAAGGGGACGGCCCTGATCCAGAACAGCCTCATCATCGCAAGGAGGCCGCTGGCGAACCAGTTCAACACCATCACGGCGGACGGGAAGGAGCTGGCGAAGGCGAAGGGGGGGCTGGTGCTGCAGAACTGCAGGATCGTGGCGGAGGCGGCGCTGTTCCAGGCGAGGTTCCAGCTGAAGACGTACCTGGGGAGGCCGTGGAAGGCGTTCTCGACGACGGTGGTGATGGAGAGCGAGGTGGGGGACGTGGTGAGCCCCGACGGGTGGAAGATTTGGGACGGGGAGAAGTTCGAGAACACGTGCGTGTACTACGAGCACGGGAACTTCGGGCCCGGGGCGGACACGAGGAGGAGGAACAGGGCGTTCAAGAAGTGGCAGGTGGTTGATCGGAGGATGGCCGGACAGTTCACCGCCGGTCCTTGGCTCGATGGACACTCCTGGTTGCGCTCCACCGGGGTGCCTTTCGCCCTCAGCTTCACCCGATAGATCGATGCATGCATCGCATATATTATGGGACCATATATATTACGGAGTATCAAGTAATCCCACTATATATTAAGAAGAACAAAAAGGAGAGGAACTGATGAATATACTAATTAATTGTTTTTAATTATATTACAAAAAGAGAGAGAGAGAGAACAAAGAAATGCAAATATTTCATTTAATTGGTGCATGAAATTCAAGATTATTGTTTGCTTGCGTTCATTACAAATATTTCCTATTGATTTCATACTCGTAAAAAAAATAATACTAGCACATTTAACTTGTGAAAATAAACATACATTCATAATTAGTTTTCGTTATTAAAATTTTATCCTAAATGTTAATCAAAAATCTATTTCCAAACGAGGTTAATGTTACAAAATTTTTTAAAGTTGACTTTTAAAGTACAAAGATAAGTTTATGGGGGAATTGTTGTCCCCACCTATTTATATCTCTGGCTTTTTTTAATTTTTTTATAATTGCTTATCTTTAAATATACTCCGTATTTTATTTAATTTAACAAAAGAAAATAATATTTTAATTAATATAATTAAATATAAAAATTTATTTGATTTATTTTACTCAAATGTGAATTATTTTGTTAAAGTTGTTATTGTAATTTGTAAGTTTATTGTTATTGGAATAAATATAAAATGATTTGTAAATTTTAGGTTTTATGTGGCTCTGACATGGAAAAATTAAAGTTATTTTTTTGGATTTACTATTAGAATCACTCTTAATTTACAATATTTTTCTAAATATTAAAAAAATGATTTTTTCATTGAAAAATGAAATTTACAACACATTATACTAAAACATACTATCTCCGTCCCACTGTCTTTGTTCACTTTTGACTTTTGGAACTGTTTATCTAAGCACTTTGACTCATCAAATTCTCTCAATGTGTAAGCCTAAAAATAATCATATGTGATCTTGTTTGATTCGTCTTAACATATAGATTATTAATATATAATTTCTATAATTTTTTAATATACAAATTACAAGATAAACTGGATTAAAGAAATGCATTGGATGGTGTGTTAAGGTAAGTATTTAAATTTTTTTTTCAACCCGAGTTCCTCTGGTAGCATCCGCTCCAGAATCTCTACCGACTACCGGTACAAAAATAAAATCGTTCTCTCCATCTCTGACTGCGGAAGATGATAACGATGATGAGGAATCAGGTTCAGAGTAGCGGAGTTTGGCGGAGAAGCCAAATATTCCGATTTTGCGAGTGGCTTATCCCATTTAAGGATTTCAAATATGGAAGATCGCCGGCGGACTATGTCAATCCACAACGCCTTGCAACAGCAACCCATTCCCTGCCAATTCTCACCCGCTTCTTCTCTACTATCACTGGTTCGATTTTATCTGCTCCACCCTCTTTTTTGCCCTAATCTTCATCACATTTGAATCAAAATGAAGCTCACATGGTCCCCCCTTAATGACAGAGCCGCGGCCTCAGTTATCGCCTGACCTAATCAAAATTATGGAGCAGCGGTTGTCTTCTATTGAAAACAGGACGTCATATCTTCAGAGAGTTCTGAACCAGGCAATCCCATGTCTTGATTCGTTTCTCTATCCATGTCCTTGTATTTTCATCGAGCTGCTTGTGAGCATGTCTCCTTGTAATACCATTCTTTTTCTTGTATGTTAAACCTTTCAATATGTGGGTTGATTAAAGACAGCCGGAATTGTCTCCTCATGAGTACTCTGTAGCTAATAAGGAACTCAGGAAACTCAGGGATGTAATGCAGCTTATAACTGAACTCAGGGCTATACAGAAGGTATCTTTATTTGCTTTCCCATTTTTTCTAATGCATTTATATATCTTTTCAATGTAAGAAAAATGCTAACCCATTGATTTGATTGCTTGGTTCTGCAAACAAGTGTTTATATTTGGCTCTCTTGAGTCTTGACTGCTCAAGGGTTTTCTCATTGCCCTGAAAAGCCAGTTTAGGCTCTCCCTATGCCCCCCAGCTCTATTCGGCGCCATTGTGTTGTCCAGAGGCTGCCTATCACATTGTAGGACTTTGGCATTCGCTCGAGCACTGGTTGACCTAGTTCTTTCATCTTAGCATTTTTGCTTATTCAGTCTAGCTTCTTGTTTCACTCTTCATTTCTTGCCTGTTATGCTCCCAATACAGGATCACCACTAACGAGTGCTTAACATTGGTAGTTGGTCCTAGCTAAAATACTCAACAATGGCAATAACATCGGGCACATTTACCAAATGGAAAATTTAAAATATTTTCTGAAGTATGGAAACTGGAATGAATAATGGAAACCCCATTTTCCAATTACTTCTCCCTTTTGGTGAACACCTACCAAATAGGAGAGTGGATCTATGGTAGAACCACACTTCATTCAATTAAACATTACCCCTCTTATATTTTCTCCTGGCCTGTTTCGTGATAATTACTTCCCCTTCTAGGAAATGGCAGAACTGCAACTAGTAATTTCTGAATGCCGAGATGATAAAGAGATGCAGAAAATGGCTTTTGAAGAATTGTGCCAGGCCACAGAAGGAGAGAAAAGGCTGCAGCATCTTCTTCTGAAATCACTATTACCAAAAGATGACGCCGATGAGAGAAACTGCATTCTGGAAGTGAGAGCAGGTGATTGTGACACAGTAAACTTTTTTTCTGAGTATATTGGAAGTATACTTCCATGTATTTTAGGTGATCTGCATGAGTTCTCTTTCTTCATGGCTTTTATTGCTATATGGATGTGATTTCAGCTTAGTGACTGAAGAAAATTGTGACAGGAACTGGAGGTGAAGAGGCTTCTTTGTTTGCGATGGACATATTCAAAATGTGGGTTACTGCCCATTTGCACTTTAACTAATGCCTTTTTTTCTGGGTCATTTTTCTGTTAAAATTCATGTTTCTGTCCTTGCTGAAAATGCATCAGGTATGAAAAATACTCAATGATGAAAGGTTGGAAGTTTGAGGTTTTAGATGTTGCTGAATCGGATCTCAAAGGATACAAGGTGCATCAACTTAAGAAAAATGACATGGACTAGTAATTTGTTTAGGTTATGAAAAACTGTTCATTCTTCAATGCCGATTGGCAAGAGTTCCCCTTGCATGATTACCATTTCATAAAGCCAATGCTCAAAATTGTATTCCCAGGAAGCCAGTGCAGCTGTTTCTGGACCTAGTGTGTATGGAAAACTAAAATTTGAGAGTGGTATTCATAGAGTTCAGGTACCATTGTCTTGAAATCAGGCTCTCTAGTCTCTACCAAAATTTATGTTTGGAGCATTGCACACGCGCTACTTCTTTTGCAGAGAGTTCCTGCTACTGAGAAATTGGGACGTGTCCACACAAGTGCTGTGTCTGTTGCAATACTCCCTCAGGCCGATCAGGTGCAAATCTGTTTTTTAAGTTGGTCTAATCTATTTTTTTGCCTCATAGGCATAAGTTAGTGAATGTCACAACCCATGATTACTATAGGGATCTTGTTGCGTAATAAAAATTCAATGGTTAGAAACCCTTTGGTCTAGCACGTTACATATATGACCTGTTATTTTCTAATATTAGCGGTGTATTAGAATTCAGAAATTAAGAAGTGCTATGTTTTTAGCTTCATATCAATGAGTGTCATAATACCAAATTGAAAGCTTCACCATCCTAAATAAGACTTACTACTTGTTATAATATCACTTTATCTGCTTTGCTTTTTTAGGTACATTGGAACGAGTTATCTTTATGTTTATGGATGCTTTGGTGGTTTTCATCTATTCAACTTTTAATTAACTATATATGCTAAAGTGCTGTGCAGGTAGATGTTCAGTTGAGAAATGAAGATCTGAAGATTGACACATACAGAGCCGGTGGTGCAGGAGGTCAGCATGTAAATACTACTAACAGTGCTGTTAGGATCACTCACATTCCTTCGGGGTTGACTGTTTCCATACAGGATGAACGATCCCAACATATGGTAAGGAACTGGATGAATTGTGATTCAGATTTTTTAAGGTGTTTTTTTTGTATGGAACTCAATATGCACTTATGACAATCAGTGCTCATACTCAATCTTGCCCGTGTCTGCCAGAATAAGACCAAAGCTCTTAGAGTGTTGTGTGCAAAGCTCTTTGAATTGGAAAGATGTAGGATTCAGTCTAGTAGATCAAAACTCCGCTCGGAGCAGGTAAGGGGCCATTTTTAATGAAAGTATGCTGTATATAAGAATTGTTTGTTTCTTTGCCCATCATGAAATGGTTTTTTTCTAAACAACATTGAGCAGATTGGAAGCGGGGACAGATCAGAACGCATTCGAACTTATAACTTTCCTCAAGGAAGGGTTACGGATCACAGAGTTGGGATTACGAGTCATTCAATAGATGAAGTGTTGCAGGGAGATGGCCTGGACTGTTTTATTGATGCTCTTCTTTTGCAGCAGGAAATGGATGCAGTAGCATCTTTCAGTTCCTCGCTTGCATAATACCTGTAGCTAAGTCCCCGCCCCCCCTCCCTCTTTTATTTATTTATTAATTATTACATTTGTTATGAACACGAGTTTGACTTCTCCCCACTTTTTTATTGGAGTAATAAATATAAAAGGAATGTTTTAATGAATTACGGAGTATTTACTTTTTCTGGTTTGATGGATAATGATAAGCAAAAGTTGTGCATACATTGTGTTCGTTTGAGAAATTGAACAAGGTAAGATTGGAAATGCAAATAGTAAACTACTGCAAAATAGATCAGTAGAAGTCATTTGGTGTTGGGTGATGACAAAAAACAACCTTTGGAGCACAAAATACAAACACCCTTTGGAGTTTACTTTGATTAACCAACTAACTTTGAGGAGAGGTGAGTATAACATCAAAGTCGCTCAGAGTCCATTCCGCGACTTCATCTTTGTCACTAACAAATATTTCAGTCCCAACATCAAGGGAGGTCCATATTCTTTTAGCAGGAGGGGTACCTGGGTCCTGCACCATCAGTGTAATCAGAAGCCAATAGTCAGAACACAGGCTGATAACTACTGAGAATTGAAGTAGAGCCTAGAGCCCGCCCATAGATGCACTAGGTAACGCGTACAAGACATACCTGATAGAAGTAAAGTCGGCTCGAAAGGGCACCAACATCAAGTTCCCAAGTCCTTGCATCCCCAATCCACCCGTCTCCCTGTTTGGTCGGGTACCCGTACTGTCCCCAAATCGGGTGAGGCAACAGCTGAACCAGTTCCTGTGCCTGAGGATTGCTGTAAGGATCACAGGTGCTGTAGGGCGATTCCAAGTGCTTGGCGTTCCCTGGGGCGCAATAGTAGTGGTAAGCGGCGTAAGGGAAGCGGGTGGTGTCATTCCTGTGGATTAGGGTGTCGTCGGGGGTGATATGGTACGGGGGGCAGTTCTCGAGATGTGTAGGGCTACACCAAGTGGGAGTTTCGGGGTTGATGATCATCTCGCTGTATCTGGTGATGTCGGTGAGGACATCCCCGTCGCAGGGTTGCCCGTTGTTCTTCCAGCAGCTACCAATGTCCATCAAGTAGAATTGGCTCTTAGGTCCTCCCCCATTCTTCACATCCAAACTCACTCTCACCTTGAAGTAGGGAGACTCCGGGAGCTGGGCAAAGTGGATAATAAGCTAGCGTTAAGGGAAAAAACAAAATGTGAAAAACAAAATGTTTAATGATGGGAGGGCGTGGCTATCGAAATACATGTGAAAGTGATATTTCCAAAATAGCTCAGCAAAGCCGATTGGCACAACTTAGATATATTCAAAGCATGTGCAGTGACAAGGAAGAGGAATGCCTTACGGTGTGGAAAGAGAGAGAGAGAGAGGTGTGGCTAACATGTATATACTTACGGTGTGGAGCATGCCGCGGGTGTCGTAGTGGTAGCCACCGGAGAAGCCTTTGGTGGCATCGGCTCTCAAGTATAGCATTAGCCAGGGGTACCTTTTTGTTGTCCTCAGCTTGTGCCGGAATGCCCACCCCCCTTCTCCTGCTCCTACCTTTTTCTCCCACATCACCTCAAAGTAGGAACCGCCGCCAGCTCCTCCGCCGGTCACGTCGTAGGTCCCGTTGAAGCCTCCCACCAATCTGGTGTCGCCTTCCACTAATTGGGTCCGGCTGTGCTGAAGGATGGGCTGATTCATGCACCCCTTCCCGAAGCAGGGAAATCTCCCCCTCGCGAACGGTGGCGCCTTCTTCCCGTTCTCGGGGCAGAGTCCAGATTCGGAGTCGTAGTTTCCGTTCTTCAGCATGACCATCCAGAACTGCCACGGCCCGGATCCCTCCTCCTCCTCCTCCTCCTCCACCTCGCACAGCGACCCCAGGTACAGCTCTTTCTCGGCGGCGTAGAGATCGGGGTCATTCAGAGATCCTGATTTCAGCCCAGGGAAGGGCTTCCCGACCCCGAGCCTGTTGTCGTCCTCCGACACCAGGTGCTTTATCCTTATTCCTCCTCCTCCTCCCGTATTATTCGTGTTGTTGTTGGAGACAAGGTTGAAGCAGTCGGCGGCTCTGGGGCTGCCGATTCCGGCGGCTTCCTCCCCAACTTCGTTGCAGAAGTTCCAAGCCTCGAAGGCCACCCTGAGGGCGTCTCTGCTCATCCCGGGGTCTCCCACTGCTGAATCATGATGAACTCCATCATTAGCAGCAGCAGCAGCAGCTGCTGCATTTTGGAGGAGGAGGAATAGGAGCATTAAGGGAAGCAATAAGAAATTCTCCATGGCAGCTGCTGAGCTGAGATTTACTCTTCTTTTCTTTCGGGTAATGTTCTTCTTCAACCAAAATTACGTACAGAAACTAATAATTCATCACCATAATTATTTTGCCCTAGAGAGAGAGAGAGAGAGAGAGAGAGAGAGGGCATTCCAATCCGATCCCCTGAATATACAGAGGTATCTATAATTAGCGAGGTAGATGAGCAGTGGTCATATACTGCTGCTGCAATAAAATAATACAGAGGTAGAATAGAGTTATTAGAAGCAAAGAGAAAAGAAGAAGGAAGGTGATGATGATGATGAGGAGGCCGGATTTACTTTAAGGAAAGGGGAGAAGAAAAGCGTGTGAGCGAAATGTGCGGCTGGCTGGCTCTTCCAAGCTTAAAGACCTCAATATAATGGAGTACTCCGTATTTGTTTTTCTCTCTTTACTATTAAAAAAAGGGGGGGGGGGGGG